CTAGCATACAGCTTAGTTCATTTGTGGATCAAAATATGTATCGTGTGCTGGCAAGACTTTCTTGGAGATCAAAACGACCATCCTCTGGTTTCCAGCATCCCCAATAAATGGCACCTGGCTTAAGGCTTTCTATAGTGAAAATAGGATTTACAGTAATAGTGTCCCTAGGTGGAAATGGATTAGACTTGAGCAGGTACCTAGGGAAGATCAAATGAGCAATTTCTTCCTAGATGGTCACCATAGCAATGACCTTTACACACACCACTGACGGCACCCAGCATATTTTAATAAAAAATGATAAGACTTTTTTTTGGTGTATCATTTTCCCTAAAGCTAAAAAGGCACCTCTCTGGTTTACTTGGATAAAATGATGTGCAAGATCAGAATATGTTAGTCAATAGACATCAGAACATCTGTAGAACTTTTAACAGAGGACAACTCTCATACCGCCAACCAGGGAGTCTTAAAAATGTGATTGTTTACCTAAATCTCTCCAACCTTGTGATCTGCAGCTTTACGCTCATCGTTAAGGTCTTCCTGAAGGTGCGAATGAGTTCTCCAAATAAAGCTGATGAGGTCTGATGAGGGCTGACATGAGCAAAGCAAAGCACCCAGTGGAACAGCCCTGGAGCTTCACAGTTTGGGGTCATTCTTTATCCCCCTCTGGGGCAGCTTGTTCACACTATCACACCTGTCTGTCAAAAGAAAGACTTATGAGCCTGAGCTGAGAGAATGGGAGAAGGTATTTGCTATGCAAAAGCAGAAAGAAATGAAAGAGAAGCACCGCCATAATGAAAATGACAGCGGACAGAAAGGGCAAGGTTTAAATTACAGCTTAAATAACCTCATGTCCTGCTTTGACTTAATGACCAACATGATTTTAAGCCTTTAAAGTAAAAACCTACAAAGGAGCTGAGGTCTTTTCTTGACTATGTGACTTGTTTAAATCACAACTTGCTCTTTAAAAATAGTTCTAAAGTGAGTGTACTGGCTGCGAAAACGTGTTAAGTCATCAAAAGGTCATGAAAAACAGTTCATATGAAAGAAAGTTCTAACACATTTTTTTAAGAATAAACCCTCATGAATAAATACTATAGCAGTTTATAGTTAATATTATTCTGTTCTTAAATCATGTAGTGATTTATATGTAGTTTTTGAATCATAGTGTATTTTACTGCATATAGTTTATAATACAACATTTTGATGAATGCTAGAGCAAATTGATGAATTGTAATAAATACTGTAGTATACTTTAGCTTTACAACAGTAAACTGTGGTAGCTATAGTGTAGTAAAACATCCACTATAGTTGTGGAAAACTACAGCGTTCGGTCATTTGTTTATTTACTAGTTTTACTGTAGTTAAAAACACTATACAATAAACTACTACAGTTTTTTTCACGTAAGTGTATTTAATTGCGATTTGGAAACTACGTAAATTAGGTATGGTAATTTTGAAGGAATCTACAAATATATAATAAATTAATTTGAAAAGTTTCTGTATTAAATGGGATTCTTTATGGATCAATTAAAAGATTCAATCATTAGCGTTCATTGAACCTGGCACGCTTTCACATTCATATCAAAGTGAGCAAAACATAATCACAATAGCATGCTTTAGAGAATCTTCACTCCCGTAAACGCCTATTATTTGTGAATTTGAACAAGACCGCATGAGGTTATGCTCAAAACCGTGTGAAAAACAATAGGAGTAAAACAACTCGTCCACCAAATGATCCTACCTTGCTCAGGTCAGATGTTCAGGCTGGGCTGGAACGTCCATGCGGTCCAACAGCGTCCCTACTGTTTAACTACTTGAATGTTGTTGATTTGTTAATTTACAGCGGCACCTAGTGTTAAGTAGAGGTAAAACACTGGTGGACGTTAATAGAAACCCTTCATTTTTATTTAAAATAATAATAATAATAAAAGAGTGGATTGAATATGATTCGCAAAACATGTAAGTGTTCAGCATTTCTGTCATAGGTTACCTGTTAAAATACTCTCTCAATATCTTGTAAATACAGATGTGCATGGATAATGAAGGCACTGAGAACATGTTTCTCACACTTGTTGTTTTAAGTCCTGATTATTGAGAAAGTGTAAATACTTTTACAACAATATATGTCACTGTGATCTTGTTCAGTGTTTTTTTTCTTGTTTTTTTTTCAGTAAAATGAATACATTCATTTATTCATTTACTTTTTGGCTTAGTCCCTTTATTAATCTGGGGTCGCCACAGCGGAATGAACCACCAACTTATCCAGCATATGTTTTACACAGCAGATGTCCTTCCAGATGCAACTCAATTATTACATTATTATTATTATTATTATTATTATTATTATTATTATTATTATTATTATTATTATTATTATTATTATTATTAAGGTAATTAAAATGATGCATTATCATTATTTATTTATTTATTTATTTATTGTTATTGAAAGTCATTTAATGTAAATTTAGGCACTGGCAATTTTCTAATATTAAACAAAGAAAAACCATACCAAAAAAAATCAGTTCAAGGCACTCAAAACATAAGAGACAAAGTTAAAAAGTCTTTTTTGACATGGCTGTTATTTTACATATATATAAAAATCTGTATTTTTTTAACCTATTTTTCTAGTACCTTGGACTGATTCATTCATTCATCCATTTATTTTTACATCAGCTTAGTCCCTTCTATATCAATAATATCGCCACAGTGGAATGAACTGCCAACTATTCCAGCATATGTTTTATGCAGCGGATGCCCTTCCCAGTACTGGGAGAGGCTTGGACTGATTCTTTTTTCTTTCTTTCTTTTTTGTCAAGCTTTTTAAGAATCCCTTATCCAGAGAGCACAGACACATTTATAAATAAGCACTTTTTACTTGTTTTTTGGATTTCATTAAGAAAAGCCAGTTGAACCATAAGAAAAAGCAGTGTTTATTTACAATCAAGCTCAAAAGCAAAACAGGCCAGAGATTTTTGTCTGTGGAGAGACACAAAACATTTTACAACATGAGACATTTTGAATTTATATCATGATGCTCGTGACTCATCCTAAAGCATTTCTTTCAATCTCTTTGTTCATATAGTAACACCAAAAATGACGCTTCTGTCATAATTTACTCAGACACAGTATGCAGTTATCCAAAATGTTACAGCTGTTCTGTTGTTTACAGTATAATAAGAATAACTGATGACCAGGGACAGCTGTATTATAATAAAAAAGTAATTCTGATATACACATTAAAATATTCTCCACTTCAGGCTATAGAAAGCTTGCAATGACAGGAAGGGGAGTAAATGATGACAGGAGTTTCATTCTGAAGTGAACTATCGATTTTAAGGGATTGTTTACGCCCCAAAAAATGAAGAGTTCTGAGTGAGTGAGGAATTACTGTGCTGCTAATAGACTTTGTGTACAAAGACAAAGGGTCAAAGTCAAAGATTTTATTTAATAATACTTCAAATTTCTCGAAATATACAACATGTGTAACATTTTTTAATATTCACACCTTTAAAAAAGCTTAAATTTGGTCTTTATTCACGACTGCATGCTTTATGTTATGTTAATCATGGTTTTAAAATAAATAAATAAATAAATAAGCATGGTTATTGTAGGTAAACCAATTTAAAGGGATATTTCATGCAAAAAAATGTCCTCCAATCTATTCACTTTTAAGTCATTCCAAACCTTCCTAAGTTTCATTTTCCTGTTGAACACAAAATAAGATATTTATTTATGTTGCCAGTGTGTTTGCAAGGTGCAATATGATGTGATTTTACTTTAACACTGCAAGTGCAAAAGATTGCGCCAAATCATTTTGACTCCGCCCTCAATGCAACGGTCCCTTGTGAAAAGACTACATCATTTTGACCCCTTGCGACTGAGAGGGGTTAGTTCAGTGTGTTTTATCTTGTGTTATCATTTAAACAAATACATTAGGTCGAACACATATAGAAATCCCTAGACTCTGTAATGTTTCTGCCAGGATTAATGATGTGCAGATGTACTATGGGTTGGATCATTTTTTTTTCATTCATTGTCCCATACTTTAATATAACTGTTAATATTAGACATACAACATAGAACAGTGTAAAAGTAAATGTTACACTGATAGGAGTACTTACTTGATGACACTTGTGGAGTACTAGCAACACTTGTGGGTGTTAAATGACCCCAAGTGTAAAACTTTGATAACTGTCGTAAGTGCAGTACCATGCAGAGACTTTCTGAGGGTCATGTGCTAAAAGTTAACGAAAAGTGTGGGGGGTGGGCGATTGCGAACTGAGGACCGGGTTGGGGTGGGGGGGGGGGTGCATCAATGGTCACAAACTACATGTAAACAATGTACAACATGCAAATATTTATTTAGTATTTTGCCAACTGAAAAGTGGGGGAGACAATCACAAACAGAAGAGCGAGGGGGAGGGGGGCATGGGGTTGAGAGGGGGTTAGGGTGACAATCTCGAACTGAAGGGGGGGTTGGACTGGTTGACGGTCGTGAACTGAAGACATGGGGGGAGCAGAGTGGACTGGTTGACGGTCGTGAACTGAAGACCAGGGGGCACTTTAGTTCATTTTTAAAGGGACCTTTTTTCCACGTTCCAGAGTAAGTGTAACATTCTACACTGTCAGTGTATTTATTCAGCACTTTAGAGTGCCAATATTACACTGCAAATTTAACACTACAATCAGTTGAATAAGGCCATGCATGATCTCCAGTAGTGTTAAAATCAACACTTTAAGTGTTAAATTGACACTACTTATTTTACTGTGATAGGAAAAACAAATGCTATTGAAGTCAATGGTAACAAGTTTCCAGAATTTTTTAAATAACTTCCTTTGTGTTAAACAGAAAAACTCTTGTAAGAATAGGAGTAGGCCTAAGCAGAGTAAATTATGTCCGGATTTTAATTTTGGGATGAACGATCCCTTTAAGCACAAGCTAACTACCAATATTGGGACAGATATAGACAAATTTAACATTGGGTTCATTTCTTTTTTTATTATCATTTTTTCAAACAGACTGATGGATTTTAGATATTTGACCCAGAGTTGATTTAATACAACCCATATTTTTTTGAGAGTGCGTGGTTTTGCTAAACTAACCATACTTTATAATTATTTTTTAATTCCTCATTTTGTTGTCTAAAAAAACAAAGCTCACAGCCCTGAAACAAAACTAAAATGAATAAAAAATTCCAGAGTTTTCATTTTTTAAGGGAAAAGCACCCCATTCATTTCGATTTATTTGGCCTGAAGGATCAAAGGCTTTTGGCTTTTTTGTTTTGAATAGCTAGCAGGTCTAAACCAAAAAATAAATTCATTTGCTTCCTGAAATATCTGCATATGTGAAGTTCTGAGTTGGAATGCGTTATCAACCTTATATTTATTGCGAGCACAATCCCATGGCAGCAAAGACGTTGACATTCGGTTTTATTTTTTATCACATGGATTTTCAACGCATAGTGTTCCTTCAAGTTCCACTGTGGCTATGGACATTAATAGCCTGCTCAGTTCGTCTAAGAATCACATTAGAGCAGATGCCAGGCGAGCATCAGAAGGCTCAGAATGAAGCTGAAGCCGGTGCCCAATTGAGTGGCGTGTCCTGCCACGTTGCAGTCGTCAGAGTAGCAGCAGTGAACTTTGACACCCGGAGCCCTGTAGCCTTGGCTGTTTGCCTGACTGCAGAAGGATTTATATGAGCACGACTTCATTACGCCACCTAAGAAGACAAGAGCCGTATGATTACATATTAATGTGCCTTGATCCTCATAAGGAAGCTGCAGACCTCCTGCTATTTCTAAGCTGGAGCCAGACAGAGCAGTCTGTCTTCCTTAAACACCAACCTGATCCTGCGCCACCCCTTAACACACACACTCACACACATTCGCACACAGTCATTAATGATTCCTCTAAAGATTTATCCTTCTGTGATTCATCTTCCACATCCAAGGAGATTAAAAAAAAAAAAACGTTCTAAATTTTTTTTTGCACCGGTTTCATCTTATTCATCCATGCAGAAAGAACTGTTACATTTTAGCAGCACTTTAGCTCTGTTTACAGTTTTATTCTTAAGGTTATATAGGTTCCTTTTATATATGGTTTCATATATATTAAGTATATATAGTAAATGTGTTTCACAGGGATTTGTTCATAACTATACTATACTATAACTATATATAACAATAATTTCACAAATTATTTACAACATTTTATTCTTTAATGAATGCTGTCTGTTTAAAGCATTTTCTGTTAAAAAAAAGATAAATCCATACAATTTATAGTTAAAAAAAAGTTAGTGGTTGCCAGAATTTTATCATTAGAATAATCTGCAAAAGAAATGTCAATGTTTTATTAATTTATAGTGTTATACACAAACATTTTCCACAAGCAGACCCAGCAGACACAGAACGTCAAAATGACATCAGATTGACATTGTAAATCGGGTTGAAAATGGGGTTCTCGATGTCAATGTCCAAACTAAAATCAATCAAATCAGCATCTAACGATGATACAGCTTGACATTGTGTGGACGTTACCACCACGATATCTATCAGATGTTAGATTTTGGGTGCCATGCCTGACGAATAAATGTCAGTGTTTGACATCAATATGATGTTGGTTTGAAGTTGGATTCACTTTCCAACACAACCTAAAATCAACCAAATTTTAACATAATTTCACATCATTATAGGAAGTCAAAATGTCGTTGTCCTAGACGTTGGTTAGACATTGATCTTTGCTTGCCTGACATCACGACTTAAATCTCACCTAATATTAGCGTCTTATCTTATTAACCTGTGCCTGCTACTAAGAAACATACTAACATGCAGTCTAGAAGATGCTGTGTCATTCACACAACTACTAAACAACATTGTGGCAACACACATTACACTCAAGTTATGCAATAAACATTATTTTTCAAAACTATGTTTCATAAAACTCAGTACAAAAAGGAAATCACTGATGAGAAAAAAACATTAAAAAACATAAAAAGTAAAATGTCCTGTGGGGAATTCTAAAAAAGTTAATTTACAGTAACTTACCGTGTTTATTAAGGAAACTTATTAACTGCTAACCAGGTTACAATTAGAGTTTTTACGCTTTTTTACCACTAAAATCACAGTCATTTTTACAGTGAAGAGTGATAAAAAGAGATTTTCAAATCCTCTCTGGAAAAACCTTTGATTTAAATGAATGTACTCGATAATGTTTAATTTTTTTGTCCTAGAAATGTTCAAAAATGTTGAATATTTAAAAGACTTGTAATACTGTTATTGCAATTATTTTGGAAATCTAATAAAAAATTTCTTTACATATTACAGAAATTCAGTTTGTTTTTCACCATTATACGTTGACTATACATCATATCACATTCTTTGATAATTATGCATCTTTCAAAAATCTTGTAATATTTTTCTGAAGGGTTATTTGTCTGTGATTCATTTTCTACATCCAAGAAAATAAAAATAAAAATCCCTGTCTAGTTTTCTTTTTATGTAAGAATGGATGTGGAAGGAAGATGAACCGTTGACTAAGCCATTAGACTTACTGCCATGTCCCCGAACAACAGCACACGCGTCTGAGTAACTAGGGCAAGTTTTGGAGCCCTGTCGATTACAGTCTTCATCTGTTGAGCCCATGCAGGTGTAACACTGGAGCGCCTCACCTAAACACACACAGAAAGGAATCAAACTAAAATAGTAAAATTCGCACATAACAATAAAAAAGGCAGATTGTGTATGCACTGATCTATACTCGATACTTTCTCAGTCAGCATATTTGCCTTGTTTATGAGGAAAAATAAAATATTGTTAAATATTAAATATAAAAAATGATATTTTGCATCATTATATTATTCAAACTCATACATTATATCGATATAATTATTACTATTATTATGTCATTATTAATATTTTATTACATTGTTCTAATTATTTTATTCAATGAAGTATTTGATATATATTTTATATATTATAAATATTACATATTTTTATTTTACCAATAACATCAAGAAATAATAATTATAATTAATTGATAACTTTAAAAAACATCAGAAGGCTAAAAAAAAGTCTGATTGACATCTTTAAAAGATAAAAGTATTATTCGATTACTGCAAAAGAATATAACAATTATTTTTTTTTTATTTATGTAATAATTTAATTAATTTAATCTCTTATATCTTAATTATCTAAATTCAGATTTTAAAACCCAATTAATAAAACATTCATTCATTTCATTCATTTTCTTGTCGGCTTAGTCCCTTATTTATCCAGGGTCGCCACAGCGGAATGAACCCCCAACTTATCCAGCAAGTTTTTTACGCAGCGGATGCCCTTCCAGCTGCAACCCATCTTTGGGAAACAGCACACACATTTACACACACACTCATACACTACGGACAATTTAGCCTACCCAATTCATCTGTATCACATGTCTTTGGACTGTGGGGGAAACCGGAGCACCCGGAGGAAACCCACGCGAAGGCAGGGAGAACATGCAAACTCCACACAGAAACGCCAACTGAGCCGAGGTTCGAACCAGCAACCTTCTTGCTATTAGACGACAGCACTACCTACTGCGCCCCTGCCTCGCCCATTAATAAAACGTAATCTTAAAAAAATATTATCGATATTCTTAAAGAAATATTTTTTACATGCAAAATAATAAAAAAATTCTGAGACATCTGGCAAAAAATATTATATACATTTGTATGGAAATGCAATCCAATTTATAATGATGTACATAAAATATAGAAAATTTCAATAACATTTTTATTCAATTTAAATTTAAGAAGAGAAACACAACAAGGGAATTTCAAGACAGCACATTGTTTTTTTTTTTGTTTTTGTTTTTCACCCAAACTTCACTGCTCTTTGCAATCTATAAACAGAACATTGACCTTTTATACTAAAGCAGATTTGTCCCTTTTTTTTCGCATTCGCTCAACAGATCCGAGGGAAGTGAACTGAAGTCACAGCAGAGAGGAAACATGTCAATGTTTTTAAGAGTTTTACAAATGCCTAGCAGAGTGCATTGACGCCGGGGCTTTTTCATGTGTCTCTTTACTATCACCTCCCATGTGCAGTCTTTTTTTTTTTTTTTTTGCTTTTTTTCAACAAACATGTTTTGAAGCTTAAACCAACAAGATCAGACACATAAAGTTGATGGACTGTAACACCTTCAAAAACAGACGTTTCTTTTAAAAGTAGCTGTTATGTGTGTCTTAACACGGTTCGCTCCTTCGGCTGCATCTGAGTCTCCGTCTCGCTTTGATAGCAAAAGCTTCAGTTCACACAACAAGCTCAAAGTGCTTTACTAACAGGATATTCAGAGCGTTTGAAATGTGCTAAACCTCTAAAGAGAAGCTCCAGCTTTCAGGTCACTTTATTTTAAGCATTAATCTAAAAGGTTCTCATTCACTCCCATAATGATCGTTGAATTTATTTACTGAATGCTGCATGCAAAAGTTATTTGACGAAGCATTTAATGTTATTCAGAGAAATAATGTTAATCTAATCAAAGATATTTTCATCAAATAAAACGTGCATCACAAAACATTAAGCAGCAATTATTTTTTAACATTAATAATACTAAAAATAAGATTTCTGAATGATCAAATGAATTTCTGAATGATAAAATCTTTTCAATTCTTATTTTTAATAGGAAGCTACTGTGTACAAAATTATATTTGTGCATATACATTAGATTGGTCAATACTGAAGCCAAATCTGAAGATTATCTAACAAAATAACTTAGGATAACGGTCCAAAAACTAGTACAGCCAAATTTACATGTTATAGGAAAATATTAAATACAAATTTTAAAAAGAGGAAAAAATTTGGGCTTACCCATCACACAAGTCACAAAAACTGTTGTTATTTTATTATCCTTCAGAAATGTCACACACACACACACACATATATATATATATATATATATATATATATATATATATATATATATATATATATATATATATATATATATATATATATATATATATATATATAGATGCTGTCATCTTCCTTATTTTCTACACCAAAAAAAGAAAAGAAAACCTACATGCAGACATAAGGAATAAAGTTATGTATCATTTGCAGACATCTACAATTTTTCAGTTGCTGTATGTCTGACGTCAGCTGGACAGGACAGTTTCGAGGTGAAGTGTGATCAAGCTTTTAATATCTTGGGAATATTTTTAATTGCTAATTAAACGTTTGTTGGGATATTTTTTTGTTATACTGTAATATACATTTCTTTTATATTTGGTCACAAATGACAAAATTTTTTTATTCAATATCAGCTTTAAAACGACTCTTTTTACTATATTTAATGTGCTCCTGCTTTCAGGTTTTCACAGCACATGCAAGTAATTACATTTCTTTAAATGATTACTTTTTTACACTTTATATTCACTTTAATTTGTTTGATATAAATATTTAAATGATAAAAATGTGTGTAATATAAACACAAACATACAGTGCTCAGCATACAGTTGAGGTCAGAATTATTAGCCCCCTTTGATTTTGTTTTTCTTTTTTTAAATATTTCCCAAATTATGTTTAACAGAGCAAGGAAAATTTTACATTAAGTCTGATAATATTTTTTCTTCTGGAGAAAGTCTTGTTTGTTTTATTTTGGCTAGAATAAAAGCAGTTTTGAATTTTTTAAACACCATTTTAAGGACAAAATTATTAGCCCCTTTGAGCTAATTTGTTTATCTACAGAACAAACCATCGTTATACAATAACTTGCCCAATTATCCTAACCTGCCTAGTTAACCTAATTAACCTAGTTACACCTTTAAATGTCACTTTAAGCTGTATAGAAGTGTCTTGAAAAATATCTAGTCGAATATTATTTACTGTCATGAGGGCAAAGATAAAATAAATCAGTTATTAGAGTTGAGTTTTTAAAACTATTATGTTTGGAAATGTGTTAAAAAAAAATCTGCTGTCCGTTAAACAGAAATTGGGGAGAAAAATAAACAGAGGAGCTAATAATTCAAGGTGGCTTATAATTCTGACTTCATCTGTATATGAGTACACCCTAACAAACCTATCTTTTAAATTCATACTTTTAATAGAAAGCTCTACAATATTATATTAGTGCATATACATTGGATTAGTCAGTACTGAAGCCAAATCTGGAGCTTATCTAACAAAATAACTTAGGATAACGATCCAAAATCTAGTACACCCAAATTTATATGCTATAGAAAAATATTAAATACAAATTTTAAAAAGAGGAAAAATCAAAAGAAGGTAAACATGAACAATTTAGTTGAATTAAATGCACCAAAAAGACATGCCTATATTCACTGAGAAATAGATAAAACATTTTAATTTTAAAAGATTATTTATTATTTATATAATTATTTTAGCTGAGCAGTGTAAAACATCATAGTCACAAAAACTGTTATTTATTGTCCTTCAGAAATGTCACATCCATACTGTATATGGACGCTGTCATTTTATTCCCTACACAAAAAACCCACATGTAGACAAAGTTATGTATTATTTGCAAGTATTTCCAGTTGCTGACCAAATATGTGGAGACAGATTCAGGTTGTAGTGTAATCATGCTTTTAATATGTTGGGAATATTTTATTAAATGCTAATAAACAGTTTGTTTGGAGAGAAGTTTGTATAATTAAATATTATTAATTGTATATGGTTTTGGACAAATTAATTTGCATTAAATATAAGTTTAATATCACATAATTTTTTTTCTACATGTAATGATCTCCTGCTTTTTCACAGCACGTGTAATTAATGCAATTATTTACAACATTAACATTAAATTACTTTTTTAAAATCATATACGCAATTTAATTTGTTTAATATGAATAATATTTAAATTATAAACCCACACACATACACCCAATGCAGTCACTGCATTTTGGTAATGTTTTAGTTTGGTACCTTAAAGATTTCTAAGTACACTCTCAGAAAAAATGGTACAATGTTGTACCAAAGAAGGTACAAACCCTTGTCACTGGGGCAGTACCTTTTAATGGGACAAAATTGTACCTTAAGAGAAAGAAACATATTTGTACAATAGCAGTTTGTACCTTTAAGGACATGATTTGTGCCATGGGAAACCAAAATGTGGTTTTTGTACCTGCAGATACAATATTGTACCTTCATCAAAGGTACCACTACAGTGACAAGACACTTTGGAAAGTGTCAAATATGCTTACCAAACATTTATTTAAAAGGCCTTAAATGTTTAGTTTACAATACCTGTAGTTTTATGTTTTACCAGTTGTTTTGTATTATTGTATAATAGAACTTAATAATTTATGTTTATAAGTTTCATTAAACATATACTTTTAAATGATGATTTTTGTTTTAATATTATTAATAAAATCACTTTGCTTTTCCAGACATATTTATTTTCATAGCTATAGCAATAAAGAAAGAATTGTTCAACACTTTTATACCTTTTGTAGCATTTTGGGTCTAAGAAAAGCGCACTATAAATAAGATGTATTATTATTATTATTTTATATGAGAAAAATTGTGTACCTTCATTTCAGTTGTACCATAAAAGGCCCAGAACAGTATCATAAGAGGTATTTTCTGTACCATATAAGGTACAATTTTAAAAAAGGTACAAAACTGTTTCTCAGGGAACATTATTTGTACCACTGAATACCTTTATTTCTGAGAGTATTAAAGACCTTTTAGTGCCTGTGTATGTGTATACATATTAAGAGAAAGAGTACTCTCTTTTAACTCCAGCAATCTAATATAAATCACGCCATGCGACTTGCAAACTCTTTTTAGCCCACAATCTGTTTAAGGGATTGAATTGCACCTAATATTCGCCATTAGTCCTTTAACGCCTTTCTCATGGCCAACAAGACACACTGAGGCAAGAGGACGCTACTGGAGAACGCAAATAAAATGAAATGATGAAAAAGTCTCAATGTCTTAAAGTCTGAACTGAAAAGCTGAAGAGGGTTAGTCAATGACTGAAGCCAGACAAGCTGTAACTGAGAAGATTGAAGCGAAAACCCTTTTAAAGTAGTGAGAAAGAAGTTAAAAAAAAGAAGTACTTACTTTGAGAAGCGAGGAGGACGAAGCCCAGGCCTAACAGGAGGAAGGAATGGACGGCTCTCATGTCGCTGGTGGTCTAGGGGGCTGTCAAGTTACGATGGAAATCAGTTTGTTTGTTCTTAAAACTCCTGAGCTTAAGCCGTGCTTTTGGAGAGCTAATACCCAACGGCAGCGAGGACACACAGATTACAGGCAGTGCGCTAAGGCCTGTGTTGCGCTCTTGAGATCTGAATGGCTTCTCAGCATCTCCACTAATCAGGGTCGAGGGATCGCTCGCTGCGCTCCACCCCTACAGGTCCTGCAGCTCTGCTCTCTGGACAGCCTCTGATTCTCCCTCCACACTTTGTTCAGCTTATGTCTACATGTACAGGATTTGCTAATCGGTGACCAAACACAAATTCAGTAATTACACATAATTATCCTCTGTGACATAGTAAAGCAGTAAACACAACCAATGAAAGAGTTGATGCGAAGGCTATTTAAACATGTGTAAGTGGTAAGGGGAACTATATCAAAGTTTGAGGCATAATAAATTCATGAACAAGTATATTATTGCAGTATAATGATCTCATTTGTCTTTACAGTCATATATATATATACTGTATACACAATTAAATGAACAACTCAAACAAATTTAAGGCAGCAACTAATATAAAAATATTAATCAAGTGCTGTTTAAGGAAGTAAAAAGATTTTCAACACATTTGTTTATATTATAAGGCATAATAGTTTATATTATTATTATTATTAATATTATTACTTTAATTATTATTATTATTATTATTATTATTATTATTATTATATCGCAGTATATATATTAAATATTTTAATAAATATTAAATAACTATATAAGAGATATGAACTATATAAGACAGTGGTGCTCTAACTCTGTCCTGAAGGGCCGGTGTCCTGCAAAGTTTAGTTCCAAAATATTCAGACACACATGTGCTATCTAATCAAGCTCTTACTTGAAACATCCTTGCAGGTGTGTTGAGGCAAGTTGAAGCTAAAATCTACAGGACACAGTTATTAGTTAATAAATTAATATTATTATTATTATATTGCAGTAAATATTTTAGATATTTTAACTTTCATTAATATTGAGTATTTAATAACTATATAAGAGATAAAAAAAATGTTACAATTCTTTCTTTAGAGCTGTTTATTGAAGAAAAGAGATTTTCAACACATTTGTTTATATTACCAAGCATAATAATTTTTATTATTATTATTGTTAATATTACTATTATAATATTGCAGTATATAGGTATATAATGTATTTATTTTAATTAATATTTAATAACTATGTAAGATATAAAAACTATATAAGAGATAAAATTATTACAATATTTCTTAAGTGCTGTTTAAGGAAGAAAAGAGATTTTCAGCACATTTCTTTATATTATTAATATATTGCTGTATATATATTTTATTAAAATTTAATATTTTAACATTTATTTTATATATTTTATAAATAATTACATGTATTTAAACACTATATACTGTACCTATTTTTAAAACTTTTATTGATATAATGTAATGTATAAATATGCAAACATATTAGTATGTTTGTGAGATAAAAATATCCATGCTTGAAAAAGATTTCAAATTTCTTTATTCCTGACTTTTTCTTAAAGTTTTATTCTTCACTCAGAGGGAGAGAGTTTGGTTCTGTGCCAGCATATAATTGCCACTAAATTAGTCTGTCTGGCATGATTTTAAGACCCATCTGCCAGCTAATGTTTCATGCACACGTAGGATCCTGTCAGCAAAATGCATTGTTTGTTCATTAAAATCATTATTGCTTTCTCAAAATGCCTGAGTGGGAGGCTACAGTGTTTGCTGATCTATTAAAGTCTATTATACAATCTATAAGCATTTAATAGTGAACAAATTGGAAAAGATTATTATTTTAAGACCAAACATCATGCCTCTACATGAGCATATAAACTGTGTCAGGGCGATACAGAGTCAGATAAACAGATTATTTGTATTGCCATCTTTTATTGCACGTTGTAAGCATGTCCTGCACAACTGACAGTGTGAAACATCAGCTTTAGCAAGACTAAGACAAAACCATTCAGATTAAATTAGCTCAGAACCACTGACAGCGGCGAGTGGGTTCTTTTATATATCAAAATAAAATCCAAAAATAAAATCGCACATCAGTGTTGCTAAAAGACAACGAATCAAATGAACAACAAGTATCTACAAAGATACACAAGGAAGCAGATCAGTATCAAAATCTGCAGTTGTGTTCCTTTACTATATTCAAGTCATTTTTTAATCATATTTACAAAACCGTCAAGGCCTACGACATGCATGTTTTTTTCATGAACATGAATACCACTTTGTGACAACTGAATGATCTGTTTTACATTATATATTATATATATATATATATATTTATATCGTCTCTGGTGTTTTGAAGTTAAGAAGAGGGTAGGACAGGGTTCAGTTTAACAGTCGGCTCCATCAGTGGTTGTCATGGCAAAGACACTCATAACTTCAGACTCACTATAAACACATACTCTCTGTTTGTGTGCGTGTGAGCTATACAGACTGTCAAAAAAAGTCTCTACTGATGGGCAGCACTTTCACAAGACCCTCAACATAGGTAAGTTGGTGTACATTAATACATCAAAATGCAGAGAAAATAATTACAGCCAGAATCTAGTGTGTTCTCCCAGTCAATGGGACTCCAGTTTATGTGAAGAAGTCAGTAGTGTGAGATCCTTTTGTTCGTTTAGTTCATGGTTCTGTCCATTAGAAAGAGAAACAAACAATACCGGACACGTTGGTCCTGCTACTCCATCTTTACAGTCGTTGTTGTTGTCTCTTTGTTGTTTGGACTGAACACTGTTGAATGGACAGCTAGCTCTTCCCCATCTTGGCAATCAGTTCATCACAAATTTTGGTCAGTTCCTCGATTTCTTTGTTCTTTAAAAATAATTGAGAAAAAAACATCATGTTAATATCTGAATGTTTGTAGATTCACTTCTGTCTTCTATGTTTAACAATGCTGCATTTTCTTGATCAAAAGCACAAAACTTTTTTGAAATATTATTATTTCTTATTTGTTAAATATATATTTACACCACATTTTCTGAAATATAACATAATATGATTTTTATCATTGTAATGGTTCTGTTTTCTTTGGTTCTTGGGTTGTGTTTCCTTTCTCCCACTGCTAGTTAGTTTCTGTTGACTCATTAGCTTAACTGATTATGTTCACCTGTTTCTAGTTTGGTTCGTAGTTTGGCTACGTATTTAAGCCCTCGGTTTGGTTCTTCCCTTAGTCCTGCATTGTCAGTTGGATAAATCCTATTGTCTTACTGTCTGATGCTGTTACTCTGATGCTTTCCTTCTGGATTACGTGCTCTCTTTTTTGTTAATGACATAAATCTGCTGCGGATGAAAGACTTTACTCTATTTCCATTGCAATTATTTTAAATGTTCAATGCATCATTTTTGTGAGAGTCACGATACATATTTTCCTAGGATTATTCTATAAATAGACAGTTAAAATAAACTTTCAAAAGACAGACAGACAGACAGACAGACAGACAGTATGAAAGATAAATATGAAAAATGAGATGAACATGGATTTGTGATTGTGAGCAAACCTTTTGTTCCAGTGTGCGCTCCAGTGAATCCACCTTCATCTGCTCTTTCCTCAGACTGGCCTGATGCGCTGCCTGCTCCTGCTTGGCTTTGGCTCTCACCTGAGCGATTTCGGAATTTGCCCTGTGGGTGTCACATGGCCAGAGTCACACCATCATTTCAAATCTATAAGGACTCTAATCTCTCTCTCTCTCTCTCTATATATATATATATATATATATATATATATATATATATATATATATATATATATATATATATATATATATATATATATATGATCTTTTTGAAGCATTTGCGCTGAGAGTCACATACATTATCAAGTGAAAAGCAGTGCATATAAATGTAAGTTTGGGCGTGACCCTTAATTATACTAAAGTTATTATTTCAGGCAACAGAAATTCTGTCCAAAGTAAAATATATTAGTGGACTTGTGAAATATCAGTACTTACTTATCCAGTTTCTCCTCAGCGTGAATCTTTAGGGCCTGATAGCGCTGCTCCTCCTTACGAACACGAGACAGATATTCCTGCGCACATTTCTTTAGGACATCCTCATTCTGATGGAAAAACGAAAAAACTCAAGTCAGCTATAATGATGATTAATAATGGCTTAAATCACTTACTGTAAAGAGATAGTTCACCCAAAACTGCTAATTCAGTCATCATTTCCTCATCATTTACTCCTCACTTACAACAAACCATTATGAGTTTATTTTTTTGTTGTTTTTGTTAAAAACCGATAACCATTGACTTCCACGGTATTCGTTTTTCCTACAACGGATGTCAGTGGTTCCTGGTTCAAAAGTTAAAAGTAACCCAAAACTATCCCTTAAAGCTTCAAGGCCAATAGGATGACCATGACCATGTTAAAGTGACCATGAAAATGAAAATGAAAATTTTCTTTAATAGAATAATGTATTTTTAATTACAATTGATTTTTTATAGACAGTTGAAGTCAGATTTATTAGCACCCCTGAATTATTAGACTGCTTGTTTATTTTTTCCCCAGTTTCTGTTTAATGGAGAGAATGTCATGTCCTCGGTTTGATCATCTGGGCCACTGGGTGTTGTTGTTGTTTTGTTTGTATTATCTATGTGCCTTTCCCTAGCATGTTTTGTTTTGATCCTCCGCCACATGCCTTCTGTTTACTCTCTAATTCCACGCCCATCCTCTTGTTTAAGCTATTACGTTATTAAGTTAATGTCACTCACCTGTTCTTCTTGATTTCTCCCTCTATTTATTCCTTCCCTTAGCGCTGTCCTGTGTCAGATTGTTGTTTGCCCTTCTCGTGTTTCCCTCGATCTCCCGGTCCTGTCATGTCAGCCTTTTTCCTGTTGTATCTGAATCCCGGTCTACATCTTTGATTTTGCCTTTTTCTGCTACCAGGCCCGTTCCCGTTTAGTTTCATTCCTGCTGCTCGCCTGTCTCTTCTCTCCGCTTCAGCGATCCATTTTCCGGTCTCCTCCAGCCCCGCAGCGCTCTCTCTTCCTCGCGGGTGTCGCGGCCCAGGAAGCGCGACCCAGCAGTATCGCCCCCTGCCGGCGGTACATATTATTACACCCTCTGGGAGAAGCCTGTCCTCTCTACGAAGAGGTTTTTGTTCCGTTTTTTTGTTGGATTTTTCGGACATTTTTGTCACATTTTTTCCCTTTTTTCTGACTTTAGTTTTCTAAGACTTTTTTCCTCTACGGAGAGTTTAAGTTTAAGTTTTTTCCCTCTGGATGTTTTTGAGAATTCTCCATAGTGAAGCTATTGAAAATCTTATTTTCCTCTTCGGAGCTGTTTTTGTTGAAGAACCTTTTTCCCATCTGAGTTTGCTATTTTGCTTATATTTGAATAAACTGTGAAGGACCTGCATTTGTGTCTTCTGTTTGCCTTGATCAGAACCCTGACAGAACAATCTGACCAGGATGGACACAGCAGGCCAAGACCCCGTCAGATCTGCCGTGGCCCAGCAGGGAGCCCTGCTCGGGCAACATGAGACCAGACTCTCCAACACTACAAGAGAGGTAGAGTTTCTGTCTAATCAGGTGGCTGACCTCACTGCTCGCATACAGGACCTTCAGCTAGAAGCAGCACAAGGAGGCCGTTTTCCCCGTCATGAGTCTGAACCCCGCTGTAACAACCCACCCACCTATGACGGCGATCCCAACTCATGCCGGGCCTTCCTGTCCCAATGTTCGGTTGTGTTTGCACTTCAACCACGCACGTATGCAGCAGAAGAGACAAGAGTGGCCTTTGTTTTGACTCTTCTCACAGGCAGAGCCCGTGATTGGGGTACCTCTGTTTGGGAATCCAGATCTCCATGTTGTGCCTCTTTTGACGAACTCAGACTGGAGATGATGAGGCTTTTTGACAGGTCAGCCAGGGGACAGGAGGCTGCAGACCAGCTAGCACGACTTCGCCAGGGGAGTCGCTCTGTTACTGAATACGCAATCCAGTTCAAGACCCTGGCTGCCTCGTGCGACTGGAATGAGGGAGCTTGCCGGGCAATGTTTCGTGCTGGCCTAGAAGAGGAGATCCAGGATGAACTGGCTACCCATGACTTGCCCCATGACTTCGATGACCTCATCAACCTGGCACTTCGCGTCGAGGTCCGTCTTCGCCGACGACACCGCCGAAGGATGGTCCATTCCTCAGCCACGATGGATGATCATAGTTCACTCACTGCCTCTGCCACTTTGTCTGACCCCGAACCCATGCAGGTGGGGCGCCTCCGCCTCACACCCCAGGAGAAACAGCAACGACTGGCTCGGGGCCTATGCCTCTACTGTGGCAAGCCTGGACATTTTGCAGCATCCTGTCCAGCAAAAGCCAAGGCTCACTAGTGAAACGGGGGATCCTGGTGAGCACTATCCCACTCTTCTATTCCCCCTCTTCCCGTACCCTACTTCCTGTGTCAGTCCAGTATGGGGACTCCTCTAACTGTTGTTCAGCCCTCATTGATTCTGGGGCGGAGGGCAATTTTTTGGACCGCTCTATGGCTGCTCAGTGGGGTATTCCTGCCATCCCTCTCCCTAAACCCATTCCTGCTCGGTCCCTAGATGGTACCCTGATTGCCACAGTCTCCCATACTTCCCCCAGTGTAAGTCTTATAGTTTCCGGCAATCACCGTGAGGTCACCACGTTGTACCTTTTAGATTCTCCCAGTGCTCCCATTGTTTTGGGTCACCCCTGGTTGGTGCAGCATGGTCCTCACGTGGATTGGTCCGGAAACTCTGTCTTGTCTTGGAGTCATTCCTGTCTTGAGTCTTGTCTTGGTCCTGCCCCGTTTCCTGGTTCTGTCTCTTCTGTGTTGCAGGTGGAGCCGGATGATCTGACCGGGGTTCCGGCGGAGTACCGTGATTTGTCCCTGGTGTTCAGTAAGTCCCGGGCCACCTCTCTGCCTCCGCATCGACCCTACGATTGTGCCATAGAGCTCCTCCCAGGCACTTCTCCGCCAAAGGGTCGCTTATATTCCCTTTCCAGTCCAGAAAGAGAGGCTATGGACAAGTACATTAACGAATCCCTTAAGGCTGGCCTCATCCGCCCTTCCTCATCTCCTGCTGGTGCTGGGTTCTTCTTCGTTAAGAAGAGGGATGGCTCCCTTCGACCCTGTATTGATTATCGAGGGCTGAATGACATCACTGTTAAGAACAGGTACCCCTTGCCGCTTATGTCTTCAGCCTTTGAACTCCTGCAGGGAGCTAAGGTCTTCACCAAGCTTGACCTCCGTAATGCCTACCACCTCATTCGCATACGGGAGGGGGATGAGTGGAAGACAGCCTTCAACACACCCACGGGACACTTTGAATATCGGGTCCTTCCCTTTGGTCTGACCAATGCCCCGGCTGTCTTTCAGGCCCTGGTCAACGACGTGCTGAGAGACATGGTAAACCAGTTTGTCTTTGTGTACCTTGATGATATCTTAATATTCTCTCCATCTCTACAGGTACACACTCAGCATGTTCGCCAGGTGCTGCAACGACTACTAGAGAACCAGCTGTTTGTTAAGGCAGAGAAGTGCGTCTTCCATGCCAAGTCTGTGTCGTTCCTGGGGTTTGTGATTTTCGGCGGGTGAGATCAAAGCTGACCCCTCTAAGGTAAGGGCTGTTGCCGAGTGGCCAACTCCTGACTCTCGTAAAGCATTGCAGCGGTTCCTGGGATTTGCCAACTTTTATCGGCGATTCATCCGGAACTTTGGTCTGATTGCTGCACCTTTAACTGCGCTCACCTCTCCCAAGGTACTGTTTAGGTGGGGCGATAAGGCTCAGGAGGCCTTTGATAAATTAAAGTCCCGTTTTATCTCTGCTCCTGTCTTATCTGTTCCAGATCCTAAACGACAGTTCATAGTTGAGGTGGACGCTTCTGAGGTCGGAGTAGGCGCAGTCCTGTCACAACGATCTCCCCGGGATGGGAAAGTGCATCCTTGTGCTTTCTTCTCCCACCGCCTGACCCCCACAGAGCGAAACTATGACATTGGTAATCGGGAGTTGCTGGCAGTCAGATTGGCTTTGGGTGAGTGGCGCCACTGGTTAGAGGGTGCAGTTCAACCTTTTTTGGTCTGGACAGACCACAAGAACTTGCAATATCTAAGTTCAGCCAAAAGGCTTAGTGCAAGACAGGCTCGCTGGTCCCTCTTCTTCAGCCGGTTCAACTTTACGCTCTCGTACAGGCCTGGGTCTAAGAACATCAAACCTGACTCTCTCTCCCGCTTGTTCGAGATCCCAGAGAGGGAGGTTTCAAATGACACCATCTTGCCCAAGGGGGTAGTGGTGGCCTCTCTCTCCTGGGATATTGAGAGACAGATACAAGAGGCCTTGCGAGAGTGCAGAGTACCGAGAGGGGTCCCAGCGGGCAAGTTATTTGTTCCCACTGCTCTGCGCTCTCAGGTTGTCCAGTGGGGTCACTCATCCAGAATGGTCTGTCACCCAGGAGTTCGGAGATCACTGGCTGCCATCCGTCAGCGATTTTGGTGGCCATCCATGGCCAGGGATGTCAGGCAGTTCGTGGTAGCCTGCTCAGTTTGCGCCCAGAACAAGAGTTCCAATTCGCCTCCCACTGGTCTGCTTCACCCCCTACCCATTCCTTCCCGCCCTTGGTCACATTTAGCCCTTGACTTTGTCACTGGTTTGCCGGAATCGAGGGGTAACACCGTGATCCTTACGGTGGTGGACCGATTCTCCAAAGCGGCCCATTTCATTCCCCTCCCCAAGCTCCCCTCAGCCAAGGAGACAGCTCAAGTGGTGGTAGACCACGTATTCCGGATTCATGGTCTTCCGGTTAATGTGGTTTCCGATAGGGGTCCCCAGTTTGTCTCCCGGTTCTGGAGGGAATTCTGCCGACAGATCGGGGCCTCTACGAGTCTGTCGTCGGGATTCCATCCTCAGACCAATGGGCAGTCTGAGCGGGCAAACCAGGATTTGGAACGTGCTCTCCGCTGCCTGGCATCCCATAACCCTAGCTCCTGGTGCCAACAACTGTCCTGGGTAGAGTATGCCCATAATACTCTACCAGTTTCTACTACAGGTATGTCACCATTCCAATGTTCTGTTGGCTATCAACCACCTCTGTTCCCCTCACAGGAACCCGATGCTGCGGTCCCGTCTGCCTTGGCCTTTGTCCAACGGTGTCGGCGCACCTGGAGAAGAGCTAAGGAGGCCTTGGCCCGGGCTAGTAGACGGACCAAAGCAGCGGCTGATCGTCATCGGACTCTGGCTCCTCACTATGTATGTGGTCAAAGGGTATGGCTCTCCACTAAGGACCTGCCTCTCAGGGTTGCTTCCCGTAAGTTGGCTCCCAGGTTCATTGGTCCATACCGGATCACAAAGGTGTTGAGTCCTGTGGCGGTTCGGCTCAAGCTTCCTCCTACGCTTGGTCGGGTACACCCAGTGTTTCATGTCTCTAGGGTTAAGCCTGTGTATTCCTCCCCTCTTGTTCCCTCTATTCCGACCCCTTCCCCCCCTCCCCCCCGTCTAGTGGATGGCTCTCCAGTCTATACTGTTAGGAGATTACTGGATGTCAGACGTAGGGGTCGTGGATTTCAATACCTAGTGGACTGGGAGGGCTATGGCCCGGAGGAGAGGAGTTGGATTCCGGCCAGGGATATTCTGGACAGGGGGCTGATCGCGGACTTCCGTCGGCGACGAGGTGAGCCCCCTCCTGGAGCGCCCAGTGGCGCCCGTAGGGAGGGGGGTACTGTCATGTCCTCGGTTTGATCATCTGGGCCACTGGGTGTTGTTGTTGTTTTGTTTGTATTATCTATGTGCCTTTCCCTAGCATGTTTTGTTTTGATCCTCCGCCACATGCCTTCTGTTTACTCTCTAATTCCACGCCCATCCTCTTGTTTAAGCTATTACGTTATTAAGTTAATGTCACTCACCTGTTCTTCTTGATTTCTCCCTCTATTTATTCCTTCCCTTAGCGCTGTCCTGTGTCAGATTGTTGTTTGCCCTTCTCGTGTTTCCCTCGATCTCCCGGTCCTGTCATGTCAGCCTTTTTCCTGTTGTATCTGAATCCCGGTCTACATCTTTGATTTTGCCTTTTTCTGCTACCAGGCCCGTTCCCGTTTAGTTTCATTCCTGCTGCTCGCCTGTCTCTTCTCTCCGCTTCAGCGATCCATTTTCCGGTCTCCTCCAGCCCCGCAGCGCTCTCTCTTCCTCGCGGGTGTCGCGGCCCAGGAAGCGCGACCCAGCAGTATCGCCCCCTGCCGGCGGTACCTATTATTACACCCTCTGGGAGAAGCCTGTCCTCTCTACGAAGAGGTTTTTGTTCCATTTTTTTGTTGGATTTTTCGGACATTTTTGTTACATTTTTTCCCTTTTTTCTGACTTTAGTTTTCTAAGACTTTTTTCCTCTACGGAGAGTTTAAGTTTAAGTTTTTTCCCTCTGGATGTTTTTGAGAATTCTCCATAGTGAAGCTATTGAAAATCTTATTTTCCTCTTCGGAGCTGTTTTTGTTGAAGAACCTTTTTCCCATCTGAGTTTGCTATTTTGCTTATATTTGAATAAACTGTGAAGGACCTGCATTTGTGTCTTCTGTTTGCCTTGATCAGAACCCTGACAGAGAAGACTTTTTAAACACATTTTAAACATAATAATTTAAGTAAGTCATTTCTAATAACTAATTTATTTTCTCTTTGCTATGATGACATTAAAATATATTTGACTAGATTTTTTTCAAGACACTTCTATACAGCTTAAAGTGACATTTAAAGGCTTAACTAAGTTAATTAGGTTACAGTACCTAGGCAGCTTAGGGTAACTAGGCAAGTTATTGTATAACGATGGTTTGTTCTGAAGACAGTCAAGAAAAAACATAGCTTAAAGGGGCTAATAATTTTGTCCCTAAAATGATGTTTAAAATATTAAAAACTGCTTTTATTCTAGCCGAAATAAAACGAAAGACTTTCTCCGGAAGAAAAAATATTATCAAAGATACTGTGAAAATGTCTTTGCTCTGTTAAACATCATTTGGAAAATATTTAAAAAAGAAAAAAAAAATCAAAGGGGGCTAATAATTCTGACTTCAACTGTATATATAACTGTATATACATATATATATGCCTTCATAAACTTTCATGACAATAACTTCACCTCCTACCTAACCAATGATATCTCATCTCTGGTAAACTCATGAACAAATGAATCATACACAACTTAAGTGAGTGGGAAAGCAAGCCAATGCAAAGGATGTGAGCGATGTTTCAATCATAATCTGTGTATTTTAGTACACCGCAGCAAAATGTGAAGATCTTGTTTTGGAATGAAGTATGAATACCTTGTTTTGGCTTTAAACAATAACCAAATGTTTACTTAAGGTGTGATCTACTGTGAATTTTGACTTTAAAATTAGCAAATTACAAAAATTCAAATAAACTCCAAATGAAAATTCTCAAGTGACTCACTTTGCGGAAACCTTCCAAAACATCTTTCATCTTCTCGTAGCGACGGAACAAGTCAGCAAGAGATTTCTCCACCGAGTTGAGATCAGCTAAAGCCTGATCCTTCTCCAGGATCAGCTGTTGGATAGTGTGGTGAGACACAGACTTCTCCCTCTGTTCGCCCTCTGAGACATACACACAAATATATAAAGTTAATATTACGCAGATATATAATGCACAATAAAAAATGTATGGATGTGCTAATATATATATATATATTTTTTTGGGATGAAGCAGAGGTTGATTTTAATGTAGATATGAAATTATACTACAGTATGGCTACATCGTTGATCATGAAAAATGAAAATGCAGATTTCAGACCTGCATTTCTGGTGCATGCAGACACACACACACATACACACACACACACACACACACACACACACACAAACTGTGGAGACATGGTGAAAGATGAGAAGTCCTTTGAAAAACTTACTCAGCACCTCTTAAACAGTTTTTAGGGAAACTTTATGAAAAGATTTATTGTTACAAATTTCATATTAGCAAGTCTTAGCAGGTCAACTATGTTTTTTTTTTAATGAACTAAGTTTCACAGATTCAGCTGAATCCTCACTCAGTTACATACAATATCTCTTTGGAGTTAAACAAGTACTGTCAATTGTTTTAAAAACAGATTATACTATTACTTAAATTTAGATAAGTTAATATGTACACAAGTGAAAAAAATGAATTAACATTTATATTTAGCAAGAAAAAATAGATAAGAAATAATCATAAATAAAAATCCTTTTTAAAATAAATGATTAATTTTATTCATCAAAGAATGTTTCAACAGCGATATTGATAAAAAGTGTCTGTACAATGAGCTTGTAGTTTGGAAAGCTACAGTATCAAAACAGCTTCCCCAACACTGATGAGCTGAAGATGAAAGATATTTCAGAGAATACAAAAAGATCTTGAAGAACATAGATGATGCTAAAATGTGAGGCCGACATCAGGGTAGAGAAGAGAAAACTCTCTGACACAATCAGATGCGGTGAATGCAACACAAACAATGAAAAAAAAGATTTGCTGTTACTTACCAGGCATGCCTGAGTGATATATCAAATATTTATGGGGAACGGAGGAAGCAAAACAGAAAGAAGGGACGGCATTAAGTCAAGCCAGCAGGGTGGGACATGTGTGAGAAGAAAAGTGTGTCGCTTACATGGGAGAATATCGAAATTAATGAAAGTGTGAAAGAACAAAATAAAGTATAGTAGCTGGTGAAAGCCAGAAAATGGCCATGAAATGGAAAAAGAAATGAAGAGCAAAGATACAAAATAAAACAAATGAACAAAACAGCTGGAAAGTGGATTATCAAGAGTGGAATTTTAACATGAATGTTTTTTGTGTCATTGCAAAGAGAGAAAAGCATGTCAAGGTTAAACCAGGCAAGTAAGATCTTATGAATCAGAACATGTAAGAATGAACACAGTCTACAGCATTTACGTGGCTGTAAACACTGGAAAGGCAAAAAAAAATAGATTAATTTGTCAGTGGGTGAGGCCTGGTACGGGACATGTTTGAGCAGAAACATGTTGGAGTTTTCTGAGGTCAAGTGGAATACATAGGGAGACATAAAGATATGTGCTCATAACTGACCGGTGTTTGGGTCCGGAGGCACGAAAGATTTGTCTGCAAATTAAGTGAGAAATTTAAAAAAAACTTATTGCAAATATGTGGCAGTGTGGTGTGACTGGGAAAAGGGGTGTGTGCCCGTTCATTTATAGCAGAAGAAAAAAGGGAATCAGAAGGGTCAAAGTGTGTCCAAAAAACACAGAAGGTAAAGCTTTGTTTAGCAAACATCAAGACTCACCGATCATCTCTGCAATGGTCTTTTCATATTCCATGACTATCCTCCTGTGAAGAATGAAGAAAAAACACTTTTGTCAAATAGGTTTTATTTAGTCATTGAATAGACTAACAATAATCACAAATTCCAGGATTATTTTTAATGCATAAACTTACGAAAACAAACCAACAAAAGAAAAGAACACCCCAACTCCAGCCTGTAAGTATACAATACAGGGATAATCAAAACAAATTTTTAGTTACAATATTGCTGTAAGAAAAAGGATTCCCCAAGAAGTGACAAAAAAGTGCCCCAAATCTTGTGAAATTGTCCAATGTTGCCTTTTAAAAGAGATCTGGTTCATTCCAAGTGCAGAGTAGATATCAATAATTCAAGCTATAATTTAGCAGTTGGAGGATTAGAAAAAAACTCTTGTAATCTGCAAGATCTGCCTCCATAATATTTTTATTATACAACAAGCTGTGTGAAATAAATAAATAAATGTATTAATGCATACATACTCAAAATCAAATATTCATAAATAAAATAGGACTTTTGTAATTTTGTAACAAAATGAAGAATATTTTTTACAAAGCTCTGCACATGACATGCAAAAACAATATTGTGGCCAAAAATAAAGAATCTATTCTCTTGGTTTTTGTAAATCATAGCCACAGTTTACAAATTTGTTCACTCACATGAAAATTTAGTTGGACAAGTTTTTCTTATTTGTGCCCTCAATTTCAACCCAGGCTCATTCTGATTACGTAGCCCTTCATACATTTCTGGAGAGCACCAAATATGTCCCAGGAGGTACTTTTTTATTTTTTTTATTTTTTTCACAAATCCACCAGAGGCCGCTGTGTATGCTTTTCCAGATCTCAAATTTCTCTTGCGAGTGTCATTCTCGCCTGCTGTTCTCACATAAATCCACTAGAGGCCGCGGTCGACTGACAGTCTACTGACTGACCGACCAATCGACTGACCCACCCTTCCACGTCTCTAAACCCAACCAATAGTGATTTAAAAAGCACGGATTGACTTGCCCATCCACTTCCCTAAAGCCAACTGACAGTTTTAAAAAGCATTCCAGAAAAAGAAGAGCCCCCTGATTTTTACCACGTTTTCAGGTTTTACCACATCCTCACCCTGTTATTTATATATATTTTTTAGCTTTTGTTTTTGTCATAACTGCTTTCTGGAACCGATCTTCACCGTACTCGAACCCCATTGTCATGGTAAACTCAGCACTGCATCTCAAGTCCGCTGACGTACATGTTGAGGTACTGGACAAACTGGTAACAGCGGGAAAGCCGTCCATATGGAGGAAAGGAAGGAGAGAAGGAAGACGTCATACCGCCCTGTAGCGTTCATTTTAAAGATGAAATGCAGCTAAACGTAGCTCTGGCTACATAATTAATGATCTCAATGTATATAGAGGCATGTTTTCAGAATGAGCCTATGTTGCTCAATGTTGCTCAATTGACTGTCTTGAAACCATTGCTGTCATTTAATTTGCACTTTTCATCTAAAATATCCTAAATTGTATTCCGAAGATGAACAAAGCTCTCAGGGAATTCGAACAATATGAAGGTATGTAAAAATGGATTAGAATCATTTAGCATATTTGTTTCCTGTAGATTATGGCATGGCTCTATGCTTTTGTACAAAAAAGTATCAATGTTTTCACAAAAATATTGAGCTGGCCAACCGTCTTCAACTTTAAAAACGAAAAGAAATGTTTCTTGAGCATCAATTATTTCTGAAGAATTGAAGGATTCTTAAGACACTTAAAAGAGTTAACATGACACACTTTCAGAAACCTTAAATGCTTTTTAATGGTAGTGTATAGTTTAGCTAAAAAATAGGTATTCTAGAATCTATTGGTATTAAGATCATTTTCAGATGATCTGATCACAAAGGGTTAGTGTTAATACAAGTGTAAACAGCATCCAAAATATTGCATGATCTTATCACTAAAATCACACACAGAGCAGCAGCTTTTAAAGCTAACAGTGGTTGGGCATCAAAGTCAAATACATTTAATGGATAGAATGAGAATTTTCTTTTCCTTTTATCCCTATTTTGCTGACTTATTGAGCGCTACATATAGTCACAAACCAAAGGCCCTCTCTTAGAAATCAGATCACAGAATCAGATAAGAAAGTAGTCACAAAAGACTTGATTCACGTTACTACCAGTAATGTTTTCTTGGCTTTTCACTTGTGATCGGATCACCCCAGACGGATCCTAATACCAGGTGTAAACAGGATTTACTACCGCATTTGAAAGTGTCCCAAATTGGATGTTAAACAATCCACGTTAATGTTTTTTGTCTGTTTGCACGCATGCAGAAATATCCGCTCTGCTCCAGATGCCAGTGAAAAACGAACTGCTTTAAAGATGTAAAGGCAAACTGGATGGCGGTGATTAAAATACATGAGGTGACAATAACTTTAAACACTTTTAAACAAGGTTGATTACAGAAAGGTCAGTAAATTGGCTTTTCTTATGTCATGTGTGGAGTGGAGCTCGCGGAAAGGTTTGGAGAAAAGCAGGTTGCCGGCACAGTAAGCGGATGGATTAGCTATGCCTTCCCTTAGCCTCTTATGCCTTTCTTATCCTAAGCCCAATCAGGCTAATGAACTAAGCTCCATTCTTATCCACACTAACAAGACCTGGTCCAGCTGGCTGTAATCCTCAACCCTCCCCATTTGCCTTGTTCACATTGTCCCTCGAAAACAAAAGCTTTTAAATGAAAAACTGCATTTATTTTATTAACAGTGATAAAAAGCTTTAATATTGAAAAAAAAAAATGTGTGTATGGATAGTGACTTGATTTGACCCCACAGTTAAGAGATTCTGAAGCAAAAGAATATATATATGACCTTATAATAGCATTTAATTGTGCGACAAAAGTTACATGTGATTTCTTTTATCTTTACATCTATTTCCTCTCCTCTCCAGCCCCCACCTCTGGCACATCTTACAGGTTAAGGACCTCTTTAATTGGCTTTCTGCTTACGCTCGACTTCAAAAAACTGTAGGAAAGGGATAAACAGATTGAGAGGTGGACTGAGGTTGGTGTGTGAGCTGTAAGCAGAGCTTTATGTGGTTTGCTGTATATGGGGATTTCCAATGATGAGTAAATGCTTAGGCATGTTAACTCAAATAAGTAGTAATTTAACATTTTTGACAAATTTATTGATTATGAAGAGTGTTGAGAAAGGTGGATTGAGAAATAGCGGAAGCTTCACTTGTTATCGCTCACAAGTCTACCTATATGAGAACACACCCACCTCATCTCCTCCACCTCCCGTCTACTCTCCTCGTATTTCCTCTTCCACTCCATGGCTTCTTTCTCTTTCACAACAATCTGAAATAAGAAGAACATCACTTTGAATACATCATCTTTTCACATTGAAATGGTTAAACCAAGGTCATTCTGGGTTGATGCAAATTGGGTTTATGTTTTGAAATTTTTGTCTAATATTCATAAGGTTTATAAGCATTGAATGATCAATTTCTGCAGGTAATGAGATTGAAATCACTTTGTTTTATCTACCAGTGCTTTTATTGGATTTGTATAGGTAGGCATAGCTCTAAAAAATAAAGATGAGCAGTGTTTAAGCAAATTAAAAACAACTGATTGTACTTTCACAAGTTAAGAGAAGCTAAGTGTTCAATTCATGTTGAGTTGTTACAGTATACTGTATCATTTGCAATACAGAAAAAACTCATTCATCTATCTGATTAAAACTAAACAAAGCATGTGAAATTTTCTGTGACAGTATAGTGTTTATTCAAATTTAATGAAATGTGATTGCAAGCAGTTTCTGATCAATTGTTATTTAGCAAGACAAATGTCATTACTTTTAACTTTAAGAATTCAGAATTGGCACAGTAAATATAGTTTTAAAACCCAAAGCCTTCAAAATTACAATCTTGCAAAAATCTATGATTTTAATTTTTTTTTTTTTTTTTAAGATTTATACAGCTTCTAAAATCTGAATAAATAAGCGTGCTATTGATATATGGTTTATTAGCATAGACAAATATTGGCTGAGATACAAGAGTCTGTGAGTGTTCAAAAAATCTAATTACTGACAAAATTGTTTTAAACTTGTCCAAATTGTTATTGATTATTACCAATTAAAAATTTTTGATTTAAAAACTTTTGATATATTTACAGAAGGAATATATTTATATGATTAATATTATAATTATTTTGCCGTAAAAATAAATAGTTTTTAAAATATTTTTTACTCAAACCACATATATTTGCCTATTGCCAAAAATATACCTGTGCAAACTAAGACTGGTTTTGTTGCCCAGGGTCAATGTTTTGGTCAATATTGAAATATTTTAATAAATATATAACACTATTAAATTCTTTAAAATATATTCAATAAAATCAATATATATTTACAGGGATAATTCATGCAAAAATTACCATATAGGCTGCATTTACACTGTACACGGCAAAGGCACAATGACCAGCAGAAAAAGTGGGCGCTTACTGACAGCTGATAATAACGGAGCACCCTTTTCTCCATTCCTGTATTTAATCTGTTCGCAGAATTTCATTTATTTTATTTTACTTTTTTGACAAGCTGTTTTACTATAGTTGATAACAACTAAGTTCTGATTTGGTCATCTTCTTTCAATCTAGGCCTTTTTAAACCAGTAGGCATCTTAATGTAATGTCCATGGTGTGATTTATGCACGTGATTTAAGAGTTTTTTATATTGGTTACGTGGTGGATATTGCGCTCTCTCGCTCTTTTGTTGACATGCTTAAATACTTGTGCTACATGACAATATAAAAGCTTTTTTAGTCCTTGTGTATGAGATTTAAAGTTTGCAACTTTGCTAAAGTCTGTTCTGAAATGAAAGCGTTAGAACTGATGTTTTTGGTAATGAGTGACTCGCATTGACAGGTGAAAATCAGATCTACCTGCTTACATTACAGAGACGAAGGCACAGATCCATTTCGAATAAATTTCCACATATGAACAAGGCCTGAATCTGATTACATTTTTCTAATTTGATTAATCTATGTGATTTTTTCCTGCTTACACGTACAGTATATGTTACATATCAGATCTGTGCCACATGGGAGATAAAAATCGGAATTAAGTCACTTGAACCATGCTGTGTTCATGCAGCCTTACTCGGTTACAAAACCGTTTCTTCCTTTTTGTGTTCAACAGATAAAGGAACACAGATAGGTTTGAAAGGGTTTTGAGGGTAAGTAACAACAATTTGAATTTTTGGGTGAACTATAACTTTAAATAATACTTCTAAGACTAAATCTAAGATCACTCTAAAGTTTTGGTATTGTGATGTGGTTTCATGCAGCAGGTGAGCATCTACCTCTTCTCGGGCGATGCCCAGAGAGTGGTCCATGTCACGTGGCAAATGAGGACTTTCCCCTTCAATGTATCCTGTTCGGGAATAGAGGGAGCCCTTCGAAACGCTGCTGTCCCCTGGTGAGGCTATTTCCGTCTGTTTTCAATGAGAGAGTTGCAGAAATCATTAAAAACAAGTACCTTTAATTTCTTTACCAAAATAACATTCATTTCACACACCCTGGATGGAAGCAGCACATCATCTACAGGTTCTACTCAGCAAAAAGCCGTAAAGCCATGGAGAGCAGGCTCCTAGTTTGGGGGTTGAAAAGCTTCCAGCGGTTGGTGATAGGCCCGTGTATACAGCTGGGATGTTATGATTGACAATCCCCAATATGAAATGGGTGTGAATAGCTGTTTGTCATGGAAAGTTTGTAGGTGTGACCGGATCCGGGTCAGAAAGCAATGCTGTGTCAGATGAGGACAGCAGGACTACAGGCTATTGGAGATAATGTGCAGGTGATCTCATTTGAAGGCTGATCCATTTTGCAACAATAAATAAAACATATTAAATTAAATAAATAAAATATCTATTTGAGCAGTTAATGGCAATAACTTTGGAAGCCTGTTCACTCCACTGAATAAGAATAAATACAATGTAAAAAAAAACTAGAAAGTCAAAATTGAGAGTTATAAAGTCAGAATTCCGAGTTATTAAGTCAAAATTCTGGCGACGCAGTGGTGCAGTAGGTAGTGCTGTCGCCTCACAGCAAGAAGGGGGTTTCCTCTGGGTGCTCTGGTTTCCCCCACAGTCCAAAGACATGCGGTACAGGTGAATTGGGTAAGCTAAATTGTCCGTAGTGTATGAGTGTGAATGAGTGTGCATGGAAGTTTCCCAGAGATGGGTTGAGGCTGGAAGGGCATCTGCTGTGTAAAAACCTGCTGGATAAGTTTGCGGTTCATTCCGCTGTTGCGACCCCGGATTAATAAAGGGACTAAGCCGAAATGAAAATGAATGAAGTCAGAATTCTGAGTTATAAAGTCGCAATTGTCAGTTATAAAGTCGCAAGTTTATAACAATGTAAGTTATAACTGACGTTATAACTCACAATTCTGACTTTATAACTTGAAATTGTAACTTTATAACTCAGAATTCTGACTTTATTTCTCAGAGTTGAAAGTTTATAACTCAGAATTCTGACTTTATAATTTTTTTTTTAATTCAGTGGCAGGAACGGGCCTACATACATAAACACAAAAGTCTGTAAAAAATATCTGCATATGTACTATAGAAAGAACAGAGGTGTTTTATGAATATCTGCTTTCAAATGCATATATGTACTGTAATTTTCAAATTCGATTTGCTTTCAAATATACCTTTTCAGATTAAAGTGCATTGTCTCCAAATGGCCTAATTATAGTCAGTGATGGAGTGTTGTTACTGAATAATCATCATGTTTAGCCCTTAAACCCACTTGCTGATTAGATCTGATTAATTCTTACTAACAAAGCTGGATTAGGAGATTAATCGAGTTTGACTCTTATTCCGGGTAGGGGGCCGTGTGTTAGGGTACAATACAGAATGCCAATCACATAATGTTTGGTCTGAAATGAGCATTATTGCCTAAACCATTTACTGTGCTATTAGGCAATGTGATACAACACAAACTATGATTTGAAGTATTGATCTTGTTATCTTGAATCTCTTTAACTACAGGATATAAATTAGATGTGGTCTTGATCTGGCATTGCCCTTTAAAAATGCTGAGTTGTATTTTTCTAATCAAATAAAAAATGTCAAAGCTGTTGACACATTTTTGGGTAGATTTTTGGGAGTTTATTTTTCCAGTCTCATAGGGTTTTTTCCAGTCTTTATAGAGCTCTTTTGTTTTTCCTAGTGTTATTTTTCAGTGCTAGGTAAACTACAACAAAATTTTGCACTGCATAACCTAGTAATCTAGCCTAGAAACTCCCTGAATGTGATCCAGCCCAATAAGACAGCATGTTTTGTCATTACCAATCCTAAACACAGTCATTAGAGGGGAAGAAATGCAAAGCAGCTCAGTACGGCGGTGGAGTTGAGATGTTCTGTAATTCGGTCATCTTTAGAGCAGCTGTGCATTTGCATGAATGATACTAAGAAAAAAAGCTGTTTAAAAAATGAGGATGTCATAGAGAATGTGCTGAGGCAGCATGTGAAATGTGTCTGTGAGACTATTTTAGAATGAGTGTTATCTTATAATGTATGTTAAAATATTGAATATTTTAATAAGATCATCAATCCAAGGTAGTCCTCCATGAGCCTCATTACTCTATAATACAGACATATAATACAGTCTCACTCTTTTATTAGGCCTATATGAAAATACTCCATAATCCATTCTATGCCAAAATATTTTTAGTACATTAAAGCTAAAATCTATTTTGGAAGTGAATTCCAGGGGTTATTCAGGGGCAGGAACTATACCTGTGGAATACGAGACGTCCTGCGACAGAGTTTTCTATCTGTCTGTGTGGATTTGACTGCAGTCTACAAAAATAACCAGACTAGTTTGGACAAGGTAAGACAAAACCTAACAATTATTTAGACAAATGTTACAGGATTTATAAAATGTTATGTGGATAGTCATAATAAATATGTCTAGAAAATAAGTTAGTTGATGATTTTCAATTGTATTAGACTGTTTTTGTGGAGTTTAGTTTGTAATTTGATGTTACATTTTGTTGTTTCTAGTCATAAAATGAATAAATATATAAATCTGAAAGATCAGGAGCAGCACACTCATGATTACTTGTTTTGGACACTGTTGTTTTACAAACTCAAGTTTTGCAATCAAAAAGGCTGCATATATTTCATAGGAATAATTTTCTAATTTTTTAATGTGATGGTGATTTTTGAGCATTTGGTAGTTTTCAATGTCAGATGACCCTTCAGAAATCATTCTAACTTTCTAATTTACTGTTCAAAAAATAACATAATTAATATCATCAGAAATGATTGCATTTATAATTACACATTTTCTTTCTTTTCAGCATTTTTTGATGTATAGAATTTTCAAGTAATAGAAATTCAAATCTTTTTTAACAGTGAACAATGTCCAAATAAATTAACATTAATTAACATTAAAGGTGCAGTATGTAGATTGGACACCCAGTGGTTGAACTAGGTATTGCATTCCTGAATCAAAACAAACGCAAGCGCAGGTTGCCAGTTTGAGGACCTACAGGAGCAAGTCTGACTATCGAGCCTTAAAGCGCGTTCTAAATGAAAGCAACAGCAAACAAAAGAAGGAATATTTTCCATGTTAAAAAGACTTTTTGTTCTAACCAACACCTCGAATTGATATATTAAATATGTTTTTTTATTTTATGCTGAATAACAGAAAACTGACAATGATAACCTCAGGTACACCTCATATGCTTTATTTGGTGTTAAATGCTAACAGTATGAGTTTAAACGCCATTTTACATGATGTTTATTGCCACACTACTGCAGTCTACTATCTACTAGCAGCAGTAGATATAGTTCACCTCAGATCTTAAATATCAAATAAAATAAACCATTTAAAATTGAACTGCAAAACTGTGACTCAAAACCAACACAGTGATCCAGCATGTACATTTAATAATGTTAAAGAGGTTTAATATGTATTAATAAGGGTTTAAACCTCACCATTTCGTGTGTGAGTGCATATTCTGTGCTTCTGGATGGCTGTTTTGTCTGGTGCAAACAGTCAAATTGCTTATCACTGCAAATCTCGTCACATAGCGTGTTGTTAGGACTCTGGGTTATAACGTAACCTGCTCACCTAATGGTTATGTTCATAATATTTATTTAGTCACGAACATGTACTCTTCCTGACTAAATGAATGAAATACATGGTTTTCCATAAAGGCAAACCAGGCTGCTGAAAAATAATTGACTGCAGTGGCATTGGGTTGGTTAAAGAACCAAACAAAGGCAGCGTTCTGGCACGTAACAGACATTTTGAAAGCAGAATAACTGACTTTAGCATTGTTTTTCAGATAACGATAAACAAGAATGCTCACTTGGCAGTTTTCTTAAATACCTTCAAACAATTTATGGTATTGTTATGCTTTAGAAGAGTCAAAATCTAACACACAGCACCTTTAATTTCTAAAAGAATTATGTGAATATTTATGTAAAAAATCTTGCTTTAAGAATTTTTTAAAATAAAACAAAAAAAAAATACTGACGAAATTAGGTTTTTAATAGGGAAGTGATGGGATGCATTTGTTTGAAGAACTATTTTACAGACTAATAATGGTTTAGTCTAATGGGGGTACAGGGACACTGGGATTAGAATATATAGACTAGATCTAGTTAGACTTGAAAGGGGTTGTTTTCTGTCCATCTTACTTTAGCCATGTGAGAACCGTTGATATTCCAGAGGCGTGGACTGGGCTTCTTGAGGCGAGACTGTGAAGTTTGCAAGACAACATCATGAATATGGAGGGGGAAGAATTTGAGTTGTGTTAGAGGGGTTGTAGATGCATGTGTGCATGTTTGTATGTACTGTGCGAGATTAGTCTGTTCATTCCATTTCCTGTTCAAATGCTGAGACTGAGGTGACGGTCGCTCATCCCACATGACTGAAAGCAGATCTGAGCTAAGCTTCATGTGAAGCCACGCTAGCGGCCTCAGACCAGGCATACAAACGGTCTGTATGCCCACTCTATTCCAATGAGTTAGTGTACATTAGTAACAATCCAAACCAAAAACCAGAATGAATGTGACAAGGAATTCAGCCTTCAACTTTCTGTTTAGGTAGAGTTTGAAATTCTAAAATCAATTTTAAAAACATTCAATTTTGATGTAATGGTAACACTTTACAGCAGGGTTTCGTTTGTTAACACTGTCAGTAAGGGCACTTTTTGTTTGGTTAGTCTGGCCTTAAAAACACTTTATATCCAGCAATTACGGCAATTACCAATTTGACTGCTCTGACACAACTGGATGAGAACAACACTGAGCTGAACTGATGACACTTTGCTCTAGAGAGCTGTTTTATATCTGAATATAATTAACAAATTTGCATCATCAACACTGTGGTTGATTTGAACTAATGCCATACTGAGTGGGCACACTTCACTTTTTCATGCTCTTCTCTGCACACAAATGTCACAGTATACTCAAATGCAGACAAGCCAGCTGGTGCATAAGGACATTTCCCAGAGATTTGATGGCCGTTCTGGCCTGTTGTGCCATCAACTTGATGGACCTCTCAAAATATACAAATTAGGCAATCACTAAATAACACCAGCTCCCGGGTGTTACTCCATGAGTCGAGACGAGACGCGAGATTGGGTTAACGAGAACAAGACGAGACAATATTTTCACAAAATTTAAGAAATCATCAATTATGAAGTATATGAATAGAAAATAGTCTTTTATTTAACTAAAAAAATAATAATAATAAAAAATCGCAAACTGCAAAGCTTTTAGGTGCTTTTTTAAATCAATCTTTAATGACTTATTTTATCCCATCTGAGAGGAGAGAGAGAATGACGAAGAGGGTTGCAGCGAATGCCTTTAACACAGAGATGGACATTTCTACTTTGAGGCAATTTGAAGCAGTTTGTTTTAATGCTAAGCTACAAAAAAAGAAAACTGAAAATAAAAGGTTTCAATTAAATGTTGTAAATCAGGGTTGTCCAAAGTCAGTCCTAGAGGCCTGGTGTCCGCCAGAGTTTAGTTCCAACCCCAATTATACACCTGAACAAGCTAATCAAGTTCTCCCAGGTATACAAGAAACTTCCAGGCAGGTGTGTTGAAGGAAGTTGGAGCTAAACTATGGAGGACACTAGCCCCCCAGGACCAAGTTTGGACACCCCTGTTGTAAATGATTTTTTAAAAATGTAAATACTCTCACGCAACAGTTAGGGTACTATGCAGAAGACATAGGCGAGTAAATCAAGGCAAAAATGAGTGTAATTTTGTTATAAATTACATTGTTTTGTTTTAACGGTAAGAATTTCATTACAAAAATGTTTTTAAAAATGTTGTATTAGTTAATATAAAGCAATGTTTTCTAGTCATTTTTTTATATTCTTGAATACATAAGCAAATTACCCATGCCATCTATATTTACTTTTGGCCCACTAGCCTCAATCAAGTTTAGTTTTTGGCCATTCAAAAGAAAAAGTTTGGGCACCCCTGATCTAGAGAAAGCCACTCATGCTTTTTTTTAGCTCTCGCCTGGACTATTGCAATGCACTTTATATTGGAATTAACCAAACCTTATTTTATCGGTTACAACTGGTGCATAGTCGGAGCACATCATGCCTGTTCTTTACTCTCTTCCCTGCATTAAAACCTATTTTTTAGGCTTGCTTTTGACATTCTGTAGTACAAAACGCTGTTTTATTGACACTTGTGTTCTTACCATCTTATGTGTTTTAATGTTTAATTTTGTTTTTAATACTGTAAAGCACTTTGGGCAGCCTACTGGATATAATAAGATGCTACAGTATATAAATAAAGTTGATTGATTGATTGAAAAATATAACAAGGTTTGCAAAATTACAGTCATGGTTCCCAACCCAGATGTCATCTGATAAGAGCAGGAGTGCAGTGCATCATAAAAAAAAGTCAAACCAAGGCCTACGGATTCATTCATTCATTCATTCATTCATTCATTTTCTTTTCGGCTCAGTCCCTTTATTAATCTGGGGTCGCCACAGTGGAATGAACTGCCAACTTATCCAGCATATGTTTTACGCAGCGGATGCCCTTCCAGCTGCAACCCATCTCTGGGAAACATCCATACACACTCATTCACACCCATACAATACGGACAATTTTAGTCTACCCAATTCACCTGTACCACATGTCTTTGGACTGTGGGGGAAACCGGAGCACCCGTAAGAAACCCACGCAAACCCAGGGAGAACATGCAAACTCCACAAAGAAGTGCCAACTGACCCAGCCAAGGCTCGAACCAGCGACCTTCTTGCTGTGAGGCCACAGCACTACCTACTGCCCCGCTGCGTCACCCTGGCCTACAGATTATTTGCAAAAAGTTTAATGACTGTAGAGAAGAGAAAGATTAAAAACTGTGCTTTAAGAGAGCATGTTGTAACATTTTGGAAAACTAGAACCTTGTTTCAACGATTATACAGTTGGCTTTTTTTCTAGTGTCAAATTTTATATTGATTACTCACCTGGGTGTTTGTATACCCTTAACAAATATGTAATATATAAAATATTAATGCATGAAAATATATTAATTTCAACATTAGAATTGTGTATCCTTTTTTTTCCCTTATAAAAAGTGCAAGTAAGCAGTATATTTGTCTATGGTATGGTAGTTCATCTATAGATGGTGTATGTGTTTTTGAAGATTTACCTACAGTGTAGATATAAACTGTATCTTGTCAACACAATATTAAAATAGATCCCTTTTTTGGTCAGCCCTAATTTTGTAATCCGTATAAATTTCCTCCCAGATGAACACAGTGGCTAAATGAACAAATTGCCTACCTGTTACAGTACTTTAACTAATAGGGTTACAAGATTAGTAGTCCGGTGGATTACATGATCAGGGTGGTTGACGACAGTGAAGGTGGCCTGGGATGGAGTCAGATTCACAAATTGAATTATTGCCACAGTCCACCACAGCCGAGATGATCGAGTTCAACAAAGACATCAGAAGGCAGTGCTGAATCATGTTGTTTAAATTTAGAACAAGAAGCTTATTAAGTTTGCCAATAATTGTAGTGTCTTTGGCCTCCTGTATGTACGTATGTGTGCATCCTTTGTATTAATAAGACAGTTAATGTACAACGACAGATTCATTCAAGTCATTCAAGTCCGATAGGGGACAATACACACAAATATACTTTGTAGTAGTACAAGAAATTAGAAAAACAACACACTGAAATATACAGTAGGCTAAAACACTACAGAAAATTTACATCATTTATTTTTTCTTCAGTTCCTCAGTGGAACTGTTCTTTAAAAAACACAATTCAGTTCTGCTCTCTGACGTCCAGCAAAGTGTAAAAAGTAACTGTATTGTGCATATGTCAAACTCATTCATCATATTCATTGAACACAAGCTTAATGGGAATATGTGTCCAGGGCTATATATTGAGAACTGAGAAATATGTGCCACGGGGTACATACTGCCTGCATTTTGTGCGTAAAAAAACACAACAGGGTGGTACCGCTCACTGCTTACCTCCATATGCTTGGCTTTTCTGACATGACTGGTTTGCTCAGTAGCTCACCACATACGGCATCAGACTGAGTACGCTGACTGGAAGTCCAGCAAAGGACAGTTCCAGAAACCAGTTAAAACAAAACCCAAAAAAGCAGAAACCATGGTAAAAGGACATGGCCGTGATGGATTTTCTCTTTTAGTTTGCTTTTAAAAACTTTCGGATGAGTTGAGAGAAGGGGGTGTGGGGTCAGTTGACTGCAAGCTGATTTATTATGCACAACAACAAGCCATTCTCTCACGAACACGTGCCAAAAGGTTGTTGAGATTGGCAGAAATGTACACCTCTAGTGAATTAACTAGAAATGGCACTTACGAGAAAATTATGAGACTCAGGGTGCACTCACACTGTGCTATTCGAGCCCAGGCGCGGTTCCTGGTTTGGTTGACAAGTGTGGGTGCTCCAAATCGAGACCAGGTGCAGTTCAGTTGGCCGGCCCTGGCCCAGTTGGAAGAGGTGTGCCAGAGGGCAGAAGGCTCAGGCACAGTACACTTGTAGTGTGAGGGCAAAGCATGCATAAACCCGAAACTGAAGACATGACATCACTTTTAGGGGGCTGTTTCATATGAATTTATTAATCATTCTTACTTTTCAATAAACGTGAACTGTCATAGTTTATTAAAGACACAAACCCCTCGCTGCACCTTCAGCAAACCTCCTAATACACACAGCACAAGGACTTGTATGATAATTTATGAGCATCAAAAGTGGTGGATCTGTTCCACAGAATATTTGACTATGTGTCACTGCATCTCAAATGACTAAAAATAAAACAATATAACAATATAACTAAAGCAATGTCCACTGCGCTGAGCGAGAGCGATTCTCTTCCAGTTAAACTTAACATCAAACTGTCGCATCATTGACGATAAAAACATGCTCCGGCTCGAAGGTAATGCAATGTGAGTGCAGGCCATCGCGGGAGAAAGTATAAGACTCCCAGTAACATATTTGAGATTGTGAAAAACGCACATGCCGGTCACTGGTGAATTTGTGAAAATAAAAACTTCAAGCATGGGTACATATTTCTAGGTTTTCAAAGATACCTCCAACATTCATCCCTGCTAAAGTCCTGTTTGAAAGTTGCATGAATACTGTGGTGTGCTAATTGGACTGTGTTGATATTGCAACACTGATTTGAAATAAAGTTTGTTCAGCTATAAAACTGTTCTACAGTAGACAATGATGCTATCAGTTCAAGAATAAACCTCTTAAATCAAGTTTTGTTGTCATCCAGTAGTGTCAATGCAATCATATTGCTAAATGCAGTAAATTCAAAATATTAATATAATCTTAAAAAACAGCTAACCAACCCAAAGGCAACAGTGGCCATTTTGATAGTTAATGTACTGTAAACAAAAGAGCCTTACAACCTTACTGTAAAGTGTTGCCGATGTAATAACAGAGTCTACAGCAAATCGAACATTAGTTTCCAAGTCACATTGACCTTTTTCTCTATGGATCTCCTGTCCAGGTGAACATGCAGGATTGTCACAAAGCCCTGGGAGAAACACACCTCTTTTTGTGCAAAAGGGTGTTGGATTGGGAAAGAGGAGCACCAATCGAGGGACAGGAGCCAGGTTAGAGAACCAGGGGTGAGATGTCACGTCCACAATATGGTGCAGTAGTTTATGGGCAGGGACTCACACTCACACCCAAGGGTGCAATCAGGGGCTCAGTTCAAAAGGAGGAAGCATACACACTCACACACACACACACACACACACACACACACACACACACACACACACTGACAAATGCACACAGGTGCGGGCTGGTTCAGCGCAATACCTGGGGGGACACAGTGGACAAAGTGGGGCTCTGAGAGATGTTTTTGGCTACCTGTAGAGCCTCTATCCTCAGGGCTGCGAGCACCAGTTCCTCCTGGGCCACAAGGGAGGGTTGGGAGGGATAGGGGGAGTGACCCATGGAGTGGGGATGGGGCAAGGAGGAAAAGAGGGGTTAGAGTCGTACTGGGCGCACTGAAATGCTAAACCTGAGGGAAAAATGTACATATACACACACATAGACACTCATACACGTTTTACTGTGAATGTTGTAAATGTGATGAGATCCACCCATCCCATCCAAGAGTTTTATTAGTAAGGTGTAGTTCAGGCAAAATTTTTATTCTGTCTTTCTTTGTGTAGTAGACTTTCAGTTGCTCTTCTCTATGCAATAAAAGATAAATGAGGGCTAGGTTCTATGTTTCTGGTTTTTGAGTTGACCCTACTATTGATGATCCAGGTCTTGAGCTGGAACAAATCTATAGAAGGATTGTTTTGTATTTCTGTACACACAGTGTATATTTTAAACATTGATCTTATAAATGACTAAGTACTGGCCTGGTATTGGTCTTGGTCTTGCACTGCCTTAATCTTACTACCTAAACCCCTGAAAATCTTGATCTTGTCTTGTTCTCAAGACACATGGTCTTAAGTTATGGTATTAAATTGATTTTGATAACAACCCTACAAGGCTTCAAAACTGCACCGGAGCATCAAAATAGTACATATGACGTATCTGACTATTTCAGGGGACATAGAAGTACAATTCAAATCATTTGATTATTTTAAAATAGTGATGAAAGTAATGAAAACGGTACTTTTTTGTATATATTTGACGAAATATTAATTACTGTTTTATGTTGTATTGTACATTAAAAAGTTATTGAGTTTACTGATGGCAGCATTTACTCCAGTTCTCAGTGTCACATGATAATTCAGAAATAACACTAATAAGTTGATCAGACACTCAAGAAACATTTCTTACTATTATCAATGTTGAAATCTGTTGTGCTGCTTAAAGGTGCTGTATGTACGTTTTTGACTCTTCTAGAGCTTAAAAATACCATATTATGTTTGCAGATATTTAAGAAACATGCCAAGTGAACATTCTTGTTTATCTGAAAAATAATGCTGAAGTCAGTTAATCTGCCTTGAAAATGTCTGTGATGTGCCGGAACGCTGTCTTTGTTTTGGTTCTTTTACCCACCCACTAGCAGTTCAGCCAATTATATTTCAGCACCCCGGGTTGTCTTGTTGGAATACAGCGTATTTCATTCTTACAGTCAGGAAGACTTTTAAAGCATGCACCCACGACCGAAATGCGACATCCGGTGGACAGTAGCAGACTCCGAAATGAGACACAGATTCAGAGTTCTACATGAAATTATTAATTAGCAAATAATCTAAATATTGCAAACATAAAAACAGGTGAGCAGGTTACATTGTAACACCTTAAGCATTAACTGTTTGCAACAGACAAAACACGACAGAAATTTAAATACAGTCATTCAGAAGCACAGAATATGCACTCACTCACAAAATGGTGAGGTTTATAACCCAATTAAAACAAATTAAAGCTCTTTAACATTATTAAATGTACATGCTGAATCATTTATATGTGTTGGTTTTAAGTCACAATTCTAAAGTTCAGTTTCAAATGGTTTATTTTGTTTTCAAGATCTGAAGTGAACTATCTACTGCTGCTTTCATTAGTATGGCAATAAACGTCATATAAAATGGCATTTTAACTCTTATTGTTAGTATTTAACACTGAATAAAGCACATGAGGTGTACCTGAGGTGATCATTATCAGTTTTCTGTTGTTCAGCACAAAATAGAAACTGTTTCTAATGTATCAAATTGAGGTGTTGGCTAGAACAAAAACTGCTTTTAATAAGGAAAATATTCCTTTTATCATCTACCGATGCTTTTATTTAGAACACTACTTAAATCAGCCTTTAGGCTCACTTGTCAGACTCGCACCTGTTGGTCCTCAATCTGGCAACCTGTGCTTGCATTTGTTTTGATCCAGGAATGCAATACCTACTTCAACCACTGGGTGTCAAACTTACATACTGCACCTTTAATAGACACTATGATACATACATTTTTCATGATACTTTGAACAAAGTTCAAAAGAACATTTAATTGAAATGACATTTTTGTAACAATGTAAAATAATCTTTTGTCATTTTTGATTCATTTAATGTGTCCTTGATGAATTTAGTATTATTTTAAAAATAAAAAAAAGCTTTCACTGATTTTCACTATAAACAAAAGAAAGAAAATCATACAAGTTTAGAATAAATATGAAAGAATTCAAATTTTTGCTTGAACTATTCCTTTAACATCTCATGACCATCATACCGGGGGCGTATCAATAAAACAAGGGATAAACAAGGCAGACAAGGTATGCAAAAGACTGAAAAGACAAACAAAGACAGTGAATCACACTGGTTTACACACATACACACACACACACAGCAGTAAGGTCAAGGGGGAAGAGATAGTTGGCAGGTAGGCTTCTCTCTACACACCTGCAGTTTTTGGGCGAAGGCAGTGGGGTTGGTCTCTGCCAGATCAGGCTCCAGGTAGCTGAGAGGGGCAGGTGAATCAGACAACCTGTCTAAGAGAGGCAGATCTGAGGGGTCCATGGGGCCCTGGATGGGGGACTGTGTTTGGGACCGAAAGCAGAAGAGGGACAAGAGGAGCAGGAGGTGTCTGGGTGTCAGTATGGCAGAGCAAGCTCAAATGTAGCCTTTTATTATGGGTTTACGAAGTCTATGAATAAACAATCTGCAGCGCTGATTCTGGTGGGGAGATCCTGAGTACTATAAGCTGCATGCTTAGCGTAATAATGGATATTTTTAAAGAGACAGTACATCCAAAAATAATCAGTTGTACATCAGCTGATGTTTATATAGAAAAGTGGAGAATGTACAGTTTAAAATGTCTCCTTTTGTGTTTTACTGCACAAAATAATAGCATACAAGTTTGAAAATAATAAAAGTACAACTTATGACAAACAGTATGCATTAATTTATGTTGCACTGTAACTTTAATAATTAAAACAAACAAAAAATTGCATTGTAAATATATCAGATAAGCTGAGCATTCATAAAAACATAACCCCATTTTCACACATTTGTGGTGTTTTTCTTGCATTTTGACTGTCTGAACAGTGTTTGATTGGTTTCCACTTACCGCTCCATCTCTCTCATTGCTCTGCGTTCGACTCTGAGACTGACTGTCCCTCTTTCTGCTTTTGTCTGAGGTCATAGGCTCACGAGTGCCACGTGGTGGCAGCACTGGGGATTTACCCTGCGAAATCTGAGCCTCCATCTCCTCAAAGCTCCTGTGAAGAGTCAGACCAACTCTTGTGAACACATGTAATATACATCAATCTAAATACCACATTTCATATCCCCATGGCCTCATTTAGTGACAGCTATGAGGCCAACTGAAATGATACTTTACTCTGTGTTAACACAGAATATCTCAAATTTATTGCATGTTTAGATAATTGATGAATGTACCATATGTGTGTGTGTGTGTGTGTGTGTGTGTGTGTGTGTGTGTGTGTGTGTGTGTGTGTGTGTGTGTGTGTGTGTGTGTGTGTGTGTGTGTGTGTGTGTGTGTTAATTAGGATTACCCAGTGCAGGGGGAGTTGGGCTCTGAATCATTCATATTGGAGGTGCTCTTTGTACTTTCTGTCACAGAGTCAAGTTTCAGATAAAGTGATGGTTTCTTCCCAGACAGAGGCTGTAAACAAATACATATATGCATTCACATACATACAAAGGCCAGAAATCTAAAATTAGCTCTGTTTTTTGTTTGTTTGTTTTTTTATAATTGGCAGTTTGTGGATCTGTAGGTTATTAAGATACTCACAGGTGCAGAAGAGCCAATCTTCTCCATGTATTCAATCTCATAGTCTGTAACTGCGGAGAAGACACCAGAGAAAAAAGAGAGAAGATATAACAGGTGAAATATTTTAGAAGGCTAAATTAAGAAATAAAAGTAAACTTCAAAGCTTCCAAAAAATATTCTTTCTATGATGATCATCAGTTAACAGACTGGCTGAACCAACATGAGAGTGGCACTATAAATTATTTGCTTCTGTACTACTGACCCAGTTAGTTTTGGGCAGAGACTGCCCTGGGGACAAATGGCTCCCTCTAGGTCAAAGGCTAATAAAACCAGTCAGTGAAAGGGCATTCGTAGTTTCAGCCATCAACTTTGATCATATAGTGGTGACAGATCTCATGGTAGAATCTTACAAAAAAATATTCAAAAGAATATTCTTACAAAAGAATATTCAAAAAAATATCATTTAAAAACATTTTTTGTTAGTAGAGTTCATCCAGACACTTATTTATTTTAATTATTTTATTGATGATATATTATTTTTACATTTATGCAATACAGTAGTTGTTACTGCAAGTATTATTCCTTTGAAATAAAATCCATCCATCTTTTGTCCTCTTACCATCACTCTGTGAAAAACTGTTCTCATTGACAAAAGCTGTGAAGTCGGTCGGCTGTGGGAAATCTTGGGGGCCAGAGGTCAGCTCCACCTCCACATCATGTCTAGTCCATTTCTGATTGGTGGAGGAGGCCAGTTTCTCCTCATCTGTGGCATGATCTTGAGAAGGGTCGGGATCTGCATCGGGCGAGTGCTCCTGCAGGTGATGATGTGTGTGTGAAGTGGTGGGCGAGAGTGGAGAACACACAGGACAACACTGTTATGATATGAGGTGACAGCGAAAGGGAGAAACAGATCATCTTCAGAATGAACATCTGTGATGACTATGTGAGGGCTTTGTAGGTCAATGTCCACTCACATCTTGACTTACTTGTGCTGGCGGATCAGGAATCTGAGTCCTCTTTGGAGACTTCTTCACTCTAAAAGTGTTACTGTTAAAGATAACAAAATTTTAGTTAGCTTAAAGTATCAATTTGGAAAAAATATTTACATCAGACATGTCCAAAGTAGGGCCCGCGGCATTGTAACATTTGATTTGGCTCACCATCCCATCTGAGAAGAAAGTGAGAAGGATAGAGAGGGTTGGTGCAAATGCCTTTAAAAGCGATCCTCACTTCTAATTTGATGTAACATTTTTTTGTTTGTTTGTTTTATTGCTGAGCTACAAAAAAAAAGCAAACTGAAATTAAATGTTTCAATCAAATGTAATTTTTAAATAATAATAATGTTACTCGACAGAAGACATCGGTAAGCAAAGCAAGGCAAAAAGTAGTGTAAATCCATCCAGTTATAAATGAGATGTTTTTGTTTTTACTGTAATAAGTTCATTCTAAAATGTAAAATAAACAATGCTGTATTAGTTAATATAAAGGTTTTCTACTTATTTTTAAATATTATTAAATAAATTAGGAAATGGGCGGTGCAGTGGTGCAGTGGGTAGCGCTGTGGCCTCACAGCAAGAAGGCCACTGGTTCGAACTGGATAAGCTAAATTAGCTATAGTGTATGTGTGTGAATGTGAGAGTGTATGTGTATTTCCCAGTGATGGGTTGCAGCTGGAAAAGCATCCACTGCGTAAAACATATGCTCGACAAGTCGGCGGTTCATTCCGCTGTGGCGACCCCTGATTAATAAAGAGACTAAGCCGAAAAGAAAATGAATGAAATTAGGAAATTACCGATGGCAACTTTATTTACCTCCGGACCTCTAGCCTTAATCAAGTATGGCTTTTGGCCCTTCCTAAGAAAAGGTTTGGGCACGCCTGATTTACCTAAACATACAAAAAATAAATAGAAAAACCAACTAGGAACCACCCTATATATTATATTCAGCATTTCTTATTAAACACTGTACAAATAATGTTATATTAAATAGAAGTTGTAGTTATATAACACAAACCTACCTTGTTTAGACCATCTGTCAAAGCAAGTAAACTCACATTTTAGCAGTAAAATGATGCTGCCTAGTATATCGGAATTACATCTCATGAGTTAATATCTTGCTAGTACACAATAAAATGAGTTATTCATGGTGTGATAAATCAGTCTGATGGTGTGCAGTTTGTTTGTTTGCTTTGTTTTTGTCATTTTCTGACAACATTGTTTGTTTTTTTTTGCACCAACTGAACTATCCGAAGATTTCAAGGACCAACAATTATTAGAGAGGCACTGGAAATATGTCTTGCAGAAGCATGATAATAATTCAGTAAAGATTTGAGGCTTAGATTAAAGAAATAAAAACAAACAGTCTCCACCCCGACCCAGTCATAAATGATAATCCCCAGTTAAATTGCTTAATGACAAAAGAAGTGGCATATGCCACACATAACAGATGCATATTAAATCCCATTCTGTTGCTCTTACTAACCTTGGGCCCAAATTACACTGTAAGTGTATATTACTAAACTGTGTCTCTCTGCAAGTAAATAAATAGATTTTTAAATATAGCTGATAAAAACCTTTAATTGTGACAGGAAGGGAGGATAGCTTGAACCTAGGAAATACATACTATATATGCTATATACAAATCTGAAAAATGCACAGGAGATGGTCTTACACAATAAAATGATTGATTTGAAAGAAGGTAGTCAGCTTGGATTAAGTGTATATTGTAAACTATATCGTGCAATATTTTCTAGACTAAATTTACAGACATTAACATACAGTATCTGAACTTGCCCTCTAGCCACGTTCTTGAAATCAACTGCACTTTTTGGTAGACTCACTAGAGGGCAACATTTTCTCAATAGAGAATTTAAAACATGAAGAAGAGGAAGATGGAGGACTAATTAAGAATGATGTCAAATCAGTCATATGTATTCAATTTCATAATAAAATACAACATGATGAGTTAAATTGTGTTAAAATGATGTTTTATGTTAAGCCATATTACTTATGCCGATTTGTACACCATCTCTCTACTTACAAGAAACAACACAGAGAAGAAACATTGCTGGATTTCCTGTGATACATGAGATCAACACACAGACATGTGATAGAGGCTGACAAACAAGTACTAACACCTTCCAACATACACATGAATGAGAATATTTAGAAATATATGGAGCTACTAATATGCCAAAACAATGTAAATTTGAATAGTGTTTGTTTAAATTGTTGACAATTGTAATTTAATAAATCAGAACTTTTATATGCCGTTAAAGATTGCTTTGAATTTCTTAATATGAATTTCTTCATTTGAATTTGAATTTCATAACCTAAATATACTGAACATCTTAAATTTAAGACAACTGAATTATTCAGGGCAGATTTTTTTATTAGACTTACTTTCAAACAAAGATTTTTTGTTTTCTGGATTCCTAAACTGCGAATATCCAGTTTGTAAAAACACAGTTTTAAGTTTTCAGAAATTCAGATGATCAAATTCAATATTCTATAAATTTAACCCCTGGCCTACTTTCTGCTGAATGTAAATTTAACAATCTGAATTTCTGGTTTTAAATTTTAGAATATTGAATTTGATAATCTGAATTTTTTCATCTTGAAAACTTGAAACTGTATTTTAACTGGATATCTGCAGTTTAGGAATCCAGAACACACAAAAAAATCATTGTTTGAAAATATGTCTATGAAAAATTCTGCATTGAAAAGTTTAGTTGTCTTAAATTTCAGGTGTTCAATATTCAGGTTATGAAATTCAAATTAAAATTAAGAAATTCAAATTCAAAACAATTTTAACACCATATAAAAAATCAGATTTATTAAATTACAATTGTCAATAATTCAAATTAACACAATTCAAATGCACATTGTTTTGGCATAGTTTTAGCTCCATAGAAATACACACAAGAAAATGTACAATTGAACTACTGACAACACTGGATGAACAGCACACATCATGAAATGAAAAGTGCATAACGTAATTTTAGACTTACGATTTGAGAGGCTTCTTCTTGGTTTTGGCAGGTTTGTTCTGGTTGTGATCCTCCAGCTCAACAATGTGATCATTGTCATTTTCATTATCATTGCTGGTCTGGTCAAAAGAGGCACCTTTCGGGGGTGAGTTCCCAATCTTGCTGGATGATTTGAAGGGACTGATTGAGCCATCAAAGGAGTCTGATTCAAAGCTGTATGATCCTTTAGAAAGACCTGGAGAATTGGGGATACCAGTGTTTGAAGAAAATGGATTAAAATTAGGGTCTTCCCACTTGCTGGGGTCAAAGTTGTATGATGCCTTGGGGATTGGGATATCGTCATTGTCATTTGAAAGTGCTGGGAGAGGTGCATTGTCTATCTGCTCCATTTGGGGTGGAGGGGCCTTCTTTATCCCTAGTTTAGGCTTTCGGATTGGCATCTTGGCACCTGGTTTCTTGCCCAGGTTTTTGGGAGGAGGAGTGCTGCGTGATGCCTCTCCACTGTCCTCTGAATAGTCAAACTCCAGTCTGACTGGTTGACGATTGGGGATTGGCTGTTCCTCAACGTTTAGGGGTTGCGCTTTAGCAGGGGAAGGGGCACGGGGCTGTTCCAGAGCAGCAGGGGTGTCTTGAACTGATGTAAAGTCAGCCTTCCTGCCTAAGACTGGCGAATTGGCAATCTTACTGCCTCCCGTACTAAATGGGTTAATATTTTCAAAGTTATCCGGATCCCATTTGTAGGAGGCACTGGGAAGGATAGGAGACTCCTCGTCAGGGACAGTTGAAGCTTCTGGTACTGGATCAGGTAGTTCCAGTAAGGGTTGAGCTGATATTGAGGTGGTCGTAATCTCCTCAGCCAAAGGTGGAGAACTCTCTACTTGAGACTTTCCCCTGTTCCTGCGTAGGGTACCAGCAGGACTAGGACTAGGGCTAGGAGAAGAACTAGGCTTATCTTGGGTTTGCAAGGGGCTTTCAGGACGGGGTTTCCCTCTCTTTTTCTGTTCAGGAGTGCTGCTGGAGGACACAGTTTTAGGAGAAGAACGCTCTGGGTTTGAGTTTTGTCTGGAGAGAGGCTTCTTCTTCAGAGAACCTGGACGGGGCTTCTTCACTCTACGAAGGGTTCCCGGTGCACTCTCTGTTCCTATGTTAAAAGACTCTGTTCGTGGGTGAATGGGTTTGTCGGAGATTCCTGGGGATTTGTTTCCTGGGCTTTCTAACTCACCAGACTGTAGGCTTTGAGAGCGGGTGAGAGGTGCTCGGCTTGATCCAGAACCAAAATTTGATTCTGGAAAAGGGTCATTAGAGATTAAGTACTCTAGGTTGTAGGTGCCACTAGCAGCTATTGGTTTGTCCTCATCAAAGGCTGTCGAATCAGAGCGACTGGGAGATCTATGGAGTGATGGGTCTTCACCTTCACTGGCAGGGACGTCAGAAGAAGAAGCTGTGAAAAATGGTCACATTAATATACATTTTGAAGAACAGATCATACTTTAAAGAAGATCACAGAGTGATTCAGAGCTGCACAGTGGTGCAGTGGGTAGCACAGTTGCCTCACAGCAAGAAGGACGCTGGTTCAAGCCTCAGCTGGGTCAGTTGATGTTTGTTTTATTGTTTAATATCTGATAATACTCTACATTTTACACAGCAGATGCCCTTCCGGCTGCAACCCAGTTCTGGGAAACACCCTTTACACACACACTCATACACTATGGCCAATTTAGTTTATTCAATTTATCTATAGTACATGTCTTTGGACTGTGGGGGAAACCGGAACACACGGAGGAAACCTACTTGATCATGGGGAGAACATGCAAACTCCACACAGAAATGCCAAATGGCCCAGCCGGGACTCGAACCAGCTACCTTCTTGCTGTGAGGTGACAGTGCTAGCCACTGAGCCACCGCCTATATGGAGAAATATTGTAAACAATAAACCTACCTGTGTGTTTAGGGGACAATGTCTCCGAACTGGTGTAGGGGTGCTCTGTTGGGGGCACTGATGGGGATACGGACTTCACAGGAGTGGTAGACTCTGGGGTTTCGAAAGCTCCGTCTGAGTCTGAGCTCCTACAGAAGAGACAGTGAGACAAAAGAGAGTCTTAATAAACTGAATTAAGAGTTTATTCAATAACCATGTTAACGTCAAGACATTCAAAGAAGCTGCATTTCCAATCCAGCAGAGATACATAAATAAACAGCTGTTTATGTGGCAACATGTCACAGCTCATAATTATAAATCAGGATCAAATAAATACACGTGCATCTACAGTATATCACGACGTAGGCATAATTCAACACCGTATTGCAGGGGAGTGAAACCTATGGCTCTCGAGCCACATGTGGCTCTTTGACCAAAAATATGTGGCTCTCCAGCTGTCTTCCTTCAATATTATTTTACAGTTTAAAAAACTATAACCATCACTAAAAATCAGTTTCCTATCGAAAATACAATTACAATGCCCTTTTAAATTGTAATTTTATCCAGCACAATGAAGAACAGATCAAGAACAGCTCCAACAACTCCAACTTTTGAGTCTTTTTAAGAGGTCACTGAAAACACTCTTATTTTCTTTAGCTTTTAATCATTTGCTGTGAGTTTATGCATTTTGGTTCTGGTATGTTTGCATGTGTTTTATGTGTTTTTACAGCACTTTGGTACCCATTTTGGTTTGTTGAAAGTGCTCTAGACATTGAGTTGAATGAATAAGAACTCAGTTAACAATAAAAGGACATTTCGACAAATGTGCGTTTGTGGCAATGTGGATAAACCTGAATTGTGACACCAATAAAGGGCAAACAACTTACATTTCTATGGTAACTTAAATTCAAACAACATTTATGAGTAGTGATGGCGAAACTAAAAATACTATAACTTTCTTCATTCATGGACTTGCTCAACATGTGATGCTTCATATTTGTTTATTTTTGAGTTGTGCATGGACATAAATTAAAAGGATTTGTTTAAACTTGTATTATTTATAGTAATATTACAAATAATAATATAGTATTAGTAGTAATATACTATACTATATTAATTTATAGAAATACAGTAGCAAATGCATTTTTAAAAAGGCATTTTTAGATATACACACACACACACATACACACACACACACACACACACACAAATATATATATAGGCTCTTTACAAAAATGCATTTGTTTAAAAAAAATCAGAAATGGCTCTTTGCTGAAAAAAGATTCCCGACCCCTACCCTATTGGGTTATTACAGATGGATTTTAAAGCTCTGGGTCTGCAGCTACAACAGGAGACCAATAACAGCAGCTCAAACACGTATTACATTCCCCCATGGTGTCTGTATTCTCTCTCATTCACTCATTATTTCATTATGACCAATATCAGAGCGAAGTTGGAATATCAAACCCAGTTAACACATTTGAATGCCATTTCAGTCGAGACCGATGATGCCCATGTTGCTTTTTACATCAATGCCACAAAATGTTGGTTTGTCACCGTTTTTATTTACATCAATGCCACAAAATGTTGGTTTGTCACCGTTTTTACGTTTTGGCATTGATGCATACTGTAATACACAGACCTGACAAAATATGCGGTTGCGTAGGAAAGCTAATTGGTACAAATCCAGTAACAGACTAATCACAGCATTAAAGGCGCAGCCTCAGACAGATGTGCAGACCACCACCCAGTCGTACCACATTAGTCCCTGTCCTCTCCCTGCTGCTATCTATCCCATGCTCACCTTTGCCCGTCTGGGATCATGTAATCATATCTGGAGGTCCAGCTGAGGCGTCGGAGGAGTCCTAGAGCTGGATCTACCCCTTCCTCTCCAGATGTCCCTCCCAGCAGTGTGTCCCAGCCCCAGCGAGCCCACTGCAGCGGAGACAGAGCCTGCCACGCACTCACTGCCATGTCCGCCACCAATATCAGGCTCACCTAATGCAGATCTGGAGCACTTTTTTCTAATCCGTTGTGCGCAACATTTCCTAATCCATCATCTTTCTTTTATAATATCCTGCGATCTTTCTCTTCAGTCTTATGCTGAAGGTGGACTTTATCCAAATGAAGCCCGCTGCAGATACTCTGCTCTTGCCGACTCACCGCTTGGCTCTCTCTCTTTTTCCCTTTAACACATCCTTTGACACGCTTCCCTCCCCCACGTCGAGGAGGGAAGCAACACTTTTCATTCTGGCTACTGTAGTAAAAAGACAAAACAAGTCTTTCTGTTTATATGATGATTTATTTTATGCCACATTATCTCTCTCTCTCTCTAGTCTTTTATGAAGTAAAGCAAATATAGACACTAATAAAGAAACAAATCCGTTTTGTTGTGAACGCCATGATTGGTTCTCTTAGTATCTACAGCAAAGACTACATTCATACACTCCGTTTTGCTGCATCAAATTCTGATGAATGTATTGATGCCTTCACTTCGGTGCAGTGAACACACCCATTCCCTGCTGAAAAGATTTGCACATATTTTGGATGCTGCTCCTCAGCGTGAGATGCTAACCAGCAGCAAGATGATCCAGATCAATAAAAAGAAGAAAATTCTGTTCTTTTCAGGATGAGCGATTCTACATTTGTCAGGAAGCACTCCAGGATTACAAACATGAGTAGCATCGTTGAGCATTTCATAATATTAAAACTAAATCATTTTCTTACAATCACATATTTGTAAATAATGCAAAGAAAAAATCTAAAGGTGACGTTGACTTGAAATTTGCCAAAAATGTTGGTAATGCATATGTGAAATCCATATATGCAAAGAAAACAAATCTAATTAGTTTATAAATTAAATTTTGTGTCATCAAATGAAACGACACAGGGAAAAAGTATTGAACACATGAAGGAAGGGAGGTGTAGAAAGGCAGTGAGAGCCCAGACAGCAGCTGAAATCTCTCAGTAGTTATTCAGCAACTCTCTGCCCTTCGTCATTGGTCTTTATGGCTTTATCAGGATGATAAAGATGAGACCAAAGTGGACATTTTAGCAAGACAATGATCCAAAACACAGAAGCTGCAATCAAAAGTAAAGTAATAAACACGTTTCAGTAGTTCAGTACTTTCTCCTTGTGTCATTTCAATGTAATTACACACATAACTCTTTCTTCACATAACATATTCTATGAGAATTTACCAAAATCTGGTTCATTTCCATGTCAACAGCTCCTTTAGAAATATTATTGCTAGGAAAAAAACAGGTCATTTTCAATACCTATTTTCCTCGCTGTATTTAATGATGAATGTATTATGTTAATATTTACTAAATGTGGTTCATTCCGCTGTGACGACCCCTGGTAAGTCAGTGGCTAAGCCAAAGAAAAGTGAATATTTATTATAGAAATATAATACTATAAATGATATGAACTATACCTACAGTATCATTAATTTACATTTACATGCAATTCTCCAATGTAACATTAAGATTCAATACCCAGTTCTTTGAAAACTAAATCAGATTGAATTACAACTACCTTACCTGATCTGATCAGCATTCATAATAAAATAAAATGGATGATTTGATCATATAGATTAAAAATGCTCATACATGTGATAATAAAAGTCCCTCTGCATCATGTAGACAGGTATAAACTGATCCAACAACAGAGAGAGAGAAGTTAATCCGAGTTTACAGTAATTGTCAGGTTTAGTCCCAAACTCAATGGGATGTAATAATGCTTAAATTAGATATAAATACATACTGTAAATATGTTGACATATTACAGATTTTAAACTTAAAGATAATAATATTAATATTAAATAAGATATAATTAAAAAGCAGATGGAATGAGATGCATTTGAAAAGTCTTCAGGTCTAATTTTACAGTTTTATGTGTGTTGATGAGTGTGTTAATCGATGAGATAATTATCACTTGATGAGCATTTCAACCCATGCAGAGACGGTTTTATCTGGCAAGCACACTGTTGCCATGGTGACAGTGCTCTCTAGACATATGCTCCCATGTGCCAGACAACACACACACACAAAATCCTGGCTGAAGCCTCAATTTTTCTTCTCTTCCACATGTGCACAGAAAGCCTATTAGGACATATAAAAAGCCATTTATTTCCTGGTGTGGGAAAATAAAATGCTGATTTATTTCTGAAAGGTCTGCTGAGGAAATTAGGTGGAAAACTGTATCATGAAGTTTATGTCCCTCTCGGGGGTTTTAAAAAAACTGTGAATGGTTTTCCAAGTCTAGTGTTTCATATTTGAAACTTTCTTCTATATGATACAACAAAATATATAATACACCTGTCTTCAATTACTAAATCTCATCGAAAATTTTAATAACTCCACTGAGAGAGGGATAATTGCAAATTGCTAGCAGTAAACTGTAAATGAATATATTCAGCATTAATCTGAAAATGCTGCAGCGCCATTAAACCTCTGCAATAAATACACCTTAAGGTCTAATATAATCTAAAATGCTAAAGTTTTTTAGGTGAATGTGTCTTTTTGGTACAGCACTCTAGCCACAAACCCTGTTGTTAGTGTAAAATCCCACAATGCTGTTTATATGAAGCAAATCTAAACCAATATTACAGCTATTAACTTGACAGAGAACTGATATATATATCACTAACAAAATACTGTATTAATTATAAAATTCCTTGTTCTGGTAGCAATCATAATTTAAAAATACCTTGAGAAAAAAACATTCAGATTTGCTCTTTTTGTGCCAGAGGGTACAAAATGTTCTAAATATTAAGGTTATGATACAAGTTGACCACTAGAGGGAGATAGAGCAAACGAGATTAGAGAGAACGAGAGAGGGAGAGAAGGCTGTGCTCTAAAAAGTATATACCACCATATACTGCTGGTGTGGATACTATACTAATAGCAGTTTACTATTCTGCCCTGTGTTTGCAACCTTGAGACATCTTTATTAAAGCACGCTTTTACGAAGCAGATGCCCTTCCAGCCGCAACCCATCTCTGGAAAACATCCACACACACTCATTCACACTCATACACTATGGACAATTTAGCCTACCCAAATCACCTGTACCCATGTCTTTGGACTGTGGGGGAAACCGAAGCACCAGAAGGAAACCCACATAAATGCAGGGAGAACAAGCAAA